AGAGGAAGTGGTCAGGGATGGAGGAGGAAGAAGAAAGAGGAGGTGGTGGTCAGGGGTGGAGGAGGAAGAAGAAAGAGGAGATGGTGGTCAGGGGTGGAGGAGGAAGAAGAAAGAGGAGGTGGTGGTCAGGGGTGGAGGAGGAAGAAGAAAGAGGAGGTGGTGGTCAGGGGTGGAGGAGGAAGAAGAAAGAGGAGGTGGTGGTCAGGGGTGGAGGAGGAAGAAGAGGAGGTGCTCAGGGGTGGAGGAGGAACAAGAGGAGGAGGTGCTCAGGGTGGAGGAGGAACAAGAGGAGGAGATGGTCAAGGTGGAGGAGGAAGAAGAGGAGGTGGTGGTCAGGGTGGAGGAGGAAGAAGAGGAGGTGGCCAGGGTGGAGGAGGAAGAAGAGGAGGTGGCCAGGGTGGAGGAGGAAGAAGAGAGAGGAGATGGTCAGGGTGGAGGAGGAAGAAGAGAGAGGAGGTGGTGGTCAGGGTGGAGGAGGAAGAAGAGAGGAGGTGGTGGTCAGGGTGGAGGAGGAAGGAGAGAGGAGGTGGTGGTCAGCGTGGAGGACGAAAAAGAGGAGGTGGCCAGGGTGGAGGAGGAAGAAGAGGAGATGATCAGGGTGGAGGAGGAAGTAGAGGAGAAGATGGTCAGGGTGGAGGAGGTAGAAGAGAGAGGAGGTGGTGGTCAGGGTGGAGGAGGAAGAAGAGGAGGAGGTGCTCAGGGTGGAGGAGCTACTGCTCCTGGCACCATCCAGAGGAGCTACTGCTCCTGGCACCATCCGGAATAGCTACAGCTCCTGGCACCATCCGGAATAGCTACAGCTCCTGGCACCATCCGGAATAGCTACTGCTCCTGGCACCATCTGGAATAGCTACTGCTCCTGGCACCATCTGGAGGAGCCGCTGCTGGACAGGTAAGAGCTTGGAGGTCTTGTGCTTCCCCCCTCCTGTCATGCTGCCCCCCCCCTCCTGTCCCGTTGCCTCCGTCCCAATCATGCTGCCCCCCCCACCCTAGTAAAAAAAACTTAATCCCAGTATCTATACCGCCATTTGTAAACGCTAGGGGTTAATGCATGGGAGGCAGTTCGACTTCTGTGCCATGTGACCACTATGATTGGCTCTCACAGCTGCCACACGGTGAAGCCAATAATTCACTTTGACCTACATGGTCCAAACAAACTATTTGAAGTCACAAGAAACCTGGAGCCTTTTCGCTGCCAGGTCTGTACATTGTACAGGTCCAACGGGGAGGGGGGATTTACACACACTCCTGGTAGCTGCAGCCTCCGGGATTGTGTGTAAATTTAACAAGTAGACTGTTCCTGTCAGATGAAAGCAGTCTGAGGCAGCGGGTTGCTATCATACCTACTGGTAACAGGCTTCCCTGCCACATATCCCAGGCTTGGTTTGCCCATCTGCGGGCCCAGAACCGGCACAGCAGGAGTCGCTGGGTAGAGGAGAGGGAGCAGAGTGGACCACACATCTGCTATCCTCCCCTTCTCGTTGCTGAACAGGAAGCGACATGGAATACGTCACTTCCGGGTCCCCATGCCAGGGTCCCCGGCCAGTATGGTTGGGAAGCAGTGTATTGCAGGGGAGACATCCAGGGTGTCTCATTAAACAGAACCTGTCACCAAAAAAATCATCACATAGGGGACCTTTTGCCCCCTATGTGATGAAAAAAAGAAACAAAAATTATGTGAAAAAAACCTTTTTTTTTAATTAAAAAAAATTTAAGTTACACCCAAGCATATAACCCCCCCATAAAAAAAACAAAACATTTTTGAGGCCTCCCCACCCCCACATATACGCACGTACAAACGTAACGCAGGTGCCTACTCCTGAAAGTACCGATTCCCATACACGTTACATATCGCCATGCACACCTGAGTGACAGCAATATTTCTCGCACCCGACCTCCTCTGTGACACCAAACTGATGACCTATTGGGGGCTTCTAAAATGTTGCCTATAGAAAATATAGGGTATTGAAGTCTGTCGCCATTTCAAGGTCGCACGCAAATTTAAGGTTTGACATGTTGGGTATCTACGTACTCGGTGCAACCCTCGCCTTTTATAGTTTATCAAAAAATTGGGTAATTTATTGCGTCTGTGCGCCCCCAAAATGAAACCATAGTGCATTGTTTGATGACATTTTGCGTTTCTCAGTGCTTTGTGGTAATATTGTGTGACATAAAAATTGGAAACTACCGCTATTTTATTTTCTAGGGGGTCTGGTTTTAAACACACTGCTTTTTAAGGCTCACTTCTGCATAGGAACCAATCAGCTTTCAGGTTTTATTGCCAATTCTTAAAGTGTTACTAAACCCACAACAGTACAATCAGTCTGTAGATGCAGTAAAACGTGCTGGTTATACTCGCTGTGGAACCTAAGGGGTTAATCCTCTGCATTGTGTGAAAAGGCGGTTTGATCCTGATCCTCCCCTTCTTCCAGTGTCCCCCTCTTATCTCCTGATAAGACATATCCTGTGGAGACACTCTGCACATGCTCAGTTTGGTGTGTATTGCTAGAGGTTTTTTTTTTTTTTTCTTGGGAGAGTGCATGTGATCAGCACTGGGCCAATCAGCACCATCCAGAGAGAGGTCAGGGGTCCTGCATCCTCCTAGAGCAGAAAGAAAACTCCTCCTACAAGCTTTAACTAGTGCTTTGCTGGACACTGATGGAAGTCACTAGACTGCTATATACTGCTGATGAGAAAAGGTATTTATCAGTTTATATATAATAAAATAATTGCATGGGTGCATGTGATCAGCACAGGGTCAATCAGCACTGTCCAGAGGGTCATGCAGCCTCACAGGACAATCAGGGCAGAATGTAAACTCCTCCTACAAGCTTTAACCAGTGCTCAGCTCAGCTTTTTCTATTTTTTTTTGGGAGAGTCCAAGTGATCAGCACAGGTCCTGTGAGGAAGAAGTGAGGAAGAAGTGTGGGAAGTCACGCTGTGTAAGTCTATGGAGTGCAGCTCAAGTGCGAGCATGCACTTTGTGTCTCCATAGCAAGACATATCATGTGGAGGCACTCTGCACATGCTCAGTTTGGTGTGTATAGCTAAAGTTTTTTTTTTTCTTGGTGTGTATAGCTAGAGAGAATTTTCTTTCTTAGCAGAGTGCAAGTGATCAGCACAGGGCCTGTGAGGAAGAAGTGTGAGAAGTCCCGCTGTGTGTGGAGTGCAGTTCCACAGACGCAGCATGCACTTTGTGTCTCCATAGCAAGACATATCATGTGGAGGCACTCTGCACATGCTCAGTTTGGTGTGTATAGCTAAAGTTTTTTTTTTTTCTTGGAAGACTGCAGGCGATCAGCACTCTCCAGACAGAGGACAGGGGTTCTGCATCCTCCTACAGCAGAATGAAAACTCCTCTTACAAGTTTTAACATGAGCTCCAGTCACAAGACTGCTATAGACTGCTGATGAGTAAAGGGTCCGGGGTTTAGTAACACTTTAACTGAACAAGCTTATGTCAGAAGCTGATTGGTTTCTATGAAGAAGAAGTGAGCCTGATTTTGCACTCTCCAACTCCATGCTAGATTGTAAGCTCCCAGGATCAGGGCCTCCCTCCTATCCCTCTTGTATTGATCTGTATTGTTGCTGTATTGTCTCCCGTTATATTGTAAAGCGCTGAGCAAACTGTTGGCGCCATAAATCCTGTATAATAATAATAATAATATGTGTTTTGGGAGTTTATGGAATCTTTAGGCCAAAAAATAATTTTTTTTTTTTTTTTTTTTTTTTTTTTTTTTAAACACGGGTGCAAAAAAAACCCCACAAAAACGGCTAAAGGGTAAAAGAGGTGGGCGGGATGTGGCGTGAAAGCGTTACATTCAGTTTGGAGACAGAGGTTTCACAACCGACAACATAGAACATGCTGAAGTATTTCCACACCAAACCAAATATTCAAAAGGAAATGTTTTTTGATTTAATACAAACTTTATACAAAGAAAAAAAAAAAAAAAATGTGAAAAAAATACTTCCATATGCTAAAACCAATTCTGTTTTTTTTTTCACCAGGAAGGCCAGACAGACCAGTTCTCCCACCCCGGATGCGGATCTGCTTCTCTGGTCTGCGGATCGTCGGCGTTATTTGTTGCGCTGCTGTACATCCCGTCTTATTTTATGAACAACAGTGAGAACTGACTGGACTAAAAATGTACAACAAACTGTGCTGGAATGCTATCTTACAGTGAACTGTCGCATATACATACATCACCGAGTCGCCCCAAGTCTTTGCATTTTACAGACGTAAGGACGTTAAACTACAACAGCGTACGGCGTCTGGCGTGCTACGCTCCTTTTTTTTTTTTTTTTATGTCGTTTTCTAAACGTCCAATTCACGTTTTTGTTTTTTGTTTTTTCTGCCGTACGTACATTTCTATCAACCGTTTGCGGTCTTTAGATTAATGCTGTTTTATTTTCTCCGTCAATCCTCACAAAGAAAGGAGATTCCATTGTGATCGAACAACTTAGAACTTTTTCCAGTGGCCGAGTTTTTATTATTATTATTGTGTTTTTTGTTTTTTTTTTCTCTCTATTAATATAATATTTGTTGCTGAGAATTCAATGAGAGGTAATGTAAACAGTCTATGTAGTCTTTTTGTACACCGATCAGCATTGATACCAAATGCTCTGCTCGTGCCCAAGCTTGGAAGGTCTACAATTCCCCCCCCCTCCTCCCCCCCCCCCGTGCCTGGGATAAGGAGTGCATGCCCCGTGACCGAATGAAGGATTGCGGGGGGCTTCTGGCGTTTTTTTTTTCGTTGGCATGGTTGTCACTCCAGATTCATAAGTTAAAGTGAATAGAAAATATAAAAAAGGCGGGTACTCTAATCTTAATCACATCCACAAATTGTACACTATATACAGACAGGCGAGCCGCTCCGGCAGGGTGGAAGGTCCTCGTCGAGGTCCCCAGGCAATGTAGTGTTTTTCAGGCTCCGTTCGTTAATGCTGCTCTCAGGGTGCCGATGCTTTTTGTTTTTCCTTTCTTCTCTCCGGTACCGACGTTCACACTCTCCTCACTTGTACCGGCACGGTGGTCTGAACGTATTGGACGCCCGCCCTCACCGCCACAGTCCCGGTGCTCGGACTCACTACCACAGGGATGGTCTGTTGACGAGAGAGCAATGGGTTATCAAAACGGCGGACGCTTTCTGCTGCGACTTCCAGCATTCAATGACAGCAAAATGCAACACAACGCGACAGTCTACGAGTGTGTGGGGTGCAAATACAGCAACTCCATTATTAACATTCCATATTAAAAGTCTGAAATATTAGTATGGAGGAGGAACAGTTTACAATCAAATGTGAAAAGCCGCGGAATGTACTCCAGCATGGTTCTCTCAGGCGTACCTGGATTTGTGGACTCCTGACCATCACACCTCTATGAGCTTGTTGGACATCCTATTCCAAAACTAAAGCCATTAATATGGCCCTCTGGCCATTAATATGCAGTTGCCCTTATCCCTATGGTCATTATTACAGAGTTGCCCCCATCCCTATGGCCATTAATATGCAGTTGCAGTTGCCCCATCCCTATCCCTTAATATGCAGTTGTCATTATTATTACGGAGTTGCCCCCATCCCTATGGTCATTATTACAGAGTTGCCCCCATCCTTATGGTCATTATTACGGAGTTGTTCCAGTCCCTATGGCCAGTAATATGGAGTTGCCCCTGTTCCCTCTGGCCATTAATATGGAGTTCCTCCTGTCCCCTTTGGCCAGTAATATGGAGTTGCCCCTGTCCCCTCTGGCCATTAATATGGAGTTCCTCCTGTCCCCTATGGCCAATAATATGGAGTTGCTCCCATCCCCTATGGCCATTAATATGGAGTTGCCCCTGTCCCCTTTGGCCAGTTGCCCCTGTCCCCTCTGGCCATTAATATGGAGTTCCTTGTCCCCAATAATATGGAGTTGTCCCCTCTGACCATTAATATGGAGTTGCCCCTGTTCCCTATGGCCATTAATATGGAGTTGCCCCTGTCCCCCTGTTCCCAATGGCCATTAATATTGAGTTGCCCCTGTCCCTATGGCCATTAATATCGAGTTGTTGCCCCTGTCCCCTCTGATCATTAATATGAAGTTGCCCCTATCCCCTCTGACCATTAATATGCAGTTGCCCCGTCCCATATGGCCATTAATATGAAGTTGCCCCCATCCCCTCTGACCATTAATATGGCATTGCCCCTGTCCCTATGGCCATTAATATGGAGTTGCCCCCATCCCCTCTTTCCACAAAATTTTGAAGTGTTTTGCGAAGTCGGGTACTGATATAATGGATTCGAGGATCTAACTCACAACGGGCATTCCACTTCATCCCCAAGGGGTTCAGTAGGGTTGAGGTCAGGGCTCTGTACAGGACACTCAGGATTTCCACACCAAAATATATTGTAAATGTGATGGTCCCATGTCATCATTCTATTGGTCATATATTGTAGGTGTGATGGTCAGGTGACCTCATAGTTTTGGTCATATATTGTAGGTGTGATGATCAGGTGACCTCATACTTTTGGTCATATAGTGTAGGCGTCATGGTCAGATGTCATCATTCTATTCGCCACATATTGTAGGTGTGATGATCAGGTGACCTCATTCTGGTCATATATAGTGTAGGCGTCATGGTTGGTCATATTCTAGTGCACATATTGTAGGTGTGATGATCAGGTGGCCTCATTCTTTTGGTCATAAAGTGCAGTTGTGATGGTCAGGTGAGACCTCATACTTTTGGTCATAAAGTGCAGTTGTGATGGTCAGGTGACCTCATACTTTTGGTCATAAAGTGCAGTTGTGATGGTCAGGTGACCTCATACTTTTGGTCATATAGTGCAGTTGTGATGGTCAGGTGGCCTCAAACTTTTGGTCATATAGTGCAGTTGTGATGGTCAGGTGGCCTCATACTTTTGGTCATAAAGTGCAGTTGTGATGGTCAGGTGACCTCATACTTTTGGTCATATAGTGCAGTTGTGATGGTCAGGTGGACCTCATACTTTTGGTCATAAAGTGCAGTTGTGATGGTCAGGTGACCTCATACTTTTGGTCATATAGTGCAGTTGTGATGGTCAGGTGACCTCATACTTTTGGTCATATAGTGCAGTTGTGATGGTCAGTTGACCTCATACTTTTGGCCACATAGTGCAGTTGTGAATGGTCAGGTGAGCTCATACTTTTGGCCACATAGTGTAGGTATGATAGTCAGGTGTCTTCACACTTTTGCCCATATAGTATAGCTAACATTAGGCCCTCTACAGATATCCCAATCTGGATCATTCCAGTGAATAAACCCAAGACAGACACCCTGAAAGCCATTTACTATGTAATAATACAACCATTTGGTAAATACATAATAATTATTCTTTGCAAAGGTTAAAAAGATAAAAAAAAGTATAAAGTACAAATGTGTCTCCAGCCAATAAAGAAAAATAAAAAGCACGCCTGGTTCAGACATATCAATAAACTGACAGCACCCTTGTTTAGAAGTGTTTGCTGCCGAGGTGTCAGAGGTGCATACACTGCAATGTCATAGATATACAAGAACATGCACATGATGACTGTTATTTGTACCTGGAGAGAGATCTCAGTTATAGGAACATTGTCATGCCACAGCCAGAAGATGCGGGAGAGATGTGTATGACAGCTCAGGCTACACAGCAAAGTCAGCAATGTGAGAGCGGGGAAGAGGGGAAGGATGGAAGGAGGAGAAGAGGGGGACCGGTGACAATCATACGGCAGAAGCAACACGGGAAAAAAAAAAAAAAAAAAAAAAGAAGGAGACACTGAGCTACTACACTACTCAGTGCCAACAACAGACTAGATGAGAGTGCTGGTACTTACAATCGTGGGTTGAGTAGTTGGGATAAAGGCCGTGGTCTGAGGCACGTGGACCAGTTTTATGGGCTGGCTGCTTGTCACACCTGTTGCTATCTGCAGGGACAGCACAGGGAACCCCTTAGATGGAGGACATTGAGGGCTGCGGAGGGTGAGATTCAGGCTCCATACATGTCTGTGTTCTAGCACTGACCAATGGCATTTTTATTTCCCTCACAAAGAGGCACAGGCGGAGGAGGGGAGGATTCTGGGTAAGCCACACAAGGTGTTCTGCTTCCGTCTCAATCATATCGCCAAACAGAGGTTACAGGAATCTATAGACTCTTATACTCTAGTAACACGTGAGCCTCTATCAACAAGCATTCATGTTTTATAAACGTTGTGTCTGTGCGTTTGCATACACACACAAGGCAGTCAAAGACTGCAATAAAAAAAACTCGACAGAAGTTATAAACCTTCCCCCTCTGCAACCAAGGCCATAAAAATATGTTTTGTCTGGAGTTTGGCTTTAAACATCACACTAAGGCCTGGTTCACACCAATGCCTGCTTTTTGTCCGTTTTCCAGTGCTTTTTGCACGTGCAATTTTACCCCACATTTTGCGTTTTTTTTAACCTTTTTTTTTTTTTTTTGTTAAAAGGAGAAATTTTTTAAGCTGCTGGGCAAAATAAAAACGCAAAATGCAGCAAAAACGCACTAGGTGCATTTCAACAGCTGCGCCATTGAACTCTTTTGTTGCTAAAAAAGCAGCTTTTTGCTTTTTAAAAAAGTCCCGGACGCGTTCCAAAAATGCAGCAACTCCAAAAAGCATAGACGTGAACGTGTCCCATAGGAAACCATGTTAAATGGACTGTAGTGTGTTCCTGCATAAAAAAAACAAAAAAACAAACAAACGCATTGGTATGAACTAGGTCTAAATAAAAGATTTAGAAGGAGGCCAGGACTTTATTGTCACCCAGAGGCAGAACACGGACACATAGGGCTGATCACACACTGACAGTACTATACAGCAGGTAAGTCAGGCCCTGAGTCAGGGACATACTGTATATAAGGCATGGATGGCAAATAAAACATGAAGCATTCTGGGAGATAGGCTTCAAGCAAACATAAAAAAAAAAAAAAAAAAAAAAAGCTCCTGTCCCCTGCAGACAGACAGACGCACACACACACACAGATTTGTCTTCACTCACTTTGGAGGTGGCAAGCTATCGACCAGCGATACGTACAGTGACACTCTCTTTGCTCTTGTCGGCCGCGCTCTCCTTCTCTTTGGGCGTGGTGGCGGTTTCGGTGGGCGGAGGTTGGATGCTGGCTGCGGACTGCGACGATTTATCGAGCTCGGGCTCAGCTTCTTGCTGCGTCACCGTGGCTGCGGATAAGATAAAGGCGAACATTAATGCAAGACACGTTAATTCCTATTATATGGCAACAACAGATTAAAGCGGTCAAGTCAAACCGTAAAAGCATCATCAATGCCTCTGCACAGAAAATACCAGGGTGACTGCTTCGTACGACTATAAAGTGAGGTCAGTAAAATAACTACCAGTACTAGACAGTCACTAAGGGGGGGTAACTTATCAAATCTGGAGCACACAGAGCGAGGAGCAGCCTGCGCATCGTAATCTGTGTGACATACCTTGGGCCATATTACCCCATATGTTGAGATCCGAAGAGGAAGGGCCCACCTAAGACAGCCCCTGAAATTAAAGGACAAGTTCACCTTTGTAACATCTTACATGTATTCAGGGGTGTATTTACCACAAGGCAAACAAGGCATTTGCTTAGGGCGGCATTTTTCGGGGGGGGGGGGGGGGGGGGGGGGGGGGCAGCACCCCGAAGAAGGGATGAAAGAAGGGACACATGCGGCATGGGGACCTGGTGGGTTCCGAGAGAGGCTGCAGGCTTCATGACGATGTATGCACAGCCTGACTCTCGTTCCTGGGGATGTCCGGAGCTGTGAAGGTTAGTGTCTTTCTTTTTCTCGCCATGGGGAGATGGTGGCTGGTGTAGGGGGGGGCAGCGGTAGTGGGAGGCTCTCTCGGGTAGGGGGCAAAGGTGTTCTTGGTCATTGTCATGCTCTCTCTATGGGGGGGGGGGGGCGCCGAATTTTGTGTTGCCTAGGGCAGCACAAAACCTAAATACACCACTGCATGTATTGCCCATTTTTAGGGTGGGATATGCAACATGTTCCTATAGCCGCAGCTACGCCCGCCGCCCCCCCCTCCCTTTGACAGATAATACGGGTAGAAGTTTCCCTATACTATCAGATTTGAAAACAGCGCAGCCGCGTGGGACTCCGCCCACACAGTTGCGTCACTTATTCACAGTGTTTTGTGAATGAGTACCTACAAGTCCCGGCAGACTTAGCGGCTGTCGGCTTGTAGTTTCCAATGAACCACCATGGCACTGTGGAGCACCGTGGTAGTAAATTGAAGCTTCTTGTCAGTATTCTGACAGGTCTGCAGGAGACTTGCATGGCATAAGCAATCTACTGATCGCTTTACAGGCTCCTTTTGACAAAAATAATAAACTCACATTTTTTTTTACCTTCAAAAAATGTGCATTTATTGTTTTTGTCCAAAAGGTGAACTTATCCTTTAACTGGTTCTGCGGTCACAGAGGCTGCATGCTGAAAGCACCATTGCTTCTGGGAAGGTGCAGCACAAAGACCTCTCTGGAGCTCAGTACACTCTTTTGTTTAGTGGCAGGAAGCACCAATTGGGAACCCCATTTTTATGCTCCTGGGCCCTCAGATCATGTCAATACTTAACCATATTAATAGTAGTGGTTTGAATTTTTAATCCTCGAGTCTCCTTATTGCATACCTTCCATCTAAATGTTTGTGTAGATTGATCGGAGGAGAGTCCATGCATGAATAGGATGATGCCTTTACACAACCGCTGATCTTAGTGACCACGAATGGCCTTTATTTTTTTATACCGAGTGATGATCAATCAGCACACAATTACATTCCCGAATGACAAACATTCGCGGAAAGAGGAAAATGTGTAAAAATCTAAATCTGTAACCCCCCCCAAGCCGTGTGACTTCCTTCACCGCTGTCACATGACCTCATACCTGACTGTGTGCAGGACTTCATGTGCTCTGGCCAATGGGCTTGCTGGCAGGGATAGTCGCAGTAGCTGGTGTTCCAGCAGCAGTAGAAGATGGCTTCCTTTTTGCAGTTGGCACACCACTGTTTCTTCTTTGTCTCATCCACCGCCTGCTGTTTCTCGAGCTCCGTTTGCTTCTTGACTTCCGCTATCAGCCGGTCCCTCTCCTGCTCCAGACTCTGCCTCATCTCAGCCATAGTGAGTTCTAGATCAGGACAGAAAGGTCTTCAAGACTCAAGACTGATGCAACAGCTTAAACAGAAAACACCGGCTACTTATTAATAAAAATATCCTATCACAACATGACTAAAGGTAAGGCACCAGATCATTGTTACCTGCCACAGACAAGGTCCCCCCAACCAGCTGTCACTGCTCTACACCTACACAATTTCCGGGCATAGTAATCCTCATCAGAATAATACACAGTGATGGTCTGTTCCTTCTGAAATATGGAGAAAAAAAGACCTATCCAATGGACGGTGGTTAGGAACTTTGACTGTATCAGCTAAGAGCCAATATACTAAGCTGCAATCTCATTTCTGAGCAGCAGATGGCAGTGCACAAATTGCAGCTGTGGTCTACCAATAACATGAAATTTGTACTTAAAAAGGAGCTCCACCCAAAAAGAGAAGTTCCACTTTAAGGCCTCATTCCCAGCTCCCTGTTAACCTCCCTAGCAGTCTGATTATGTCAGTATTTATGTGTACTCAAAGCGGTACATTTTTTGCATGGAAATATGTCGTTTTTTTATTGTAGGCTGTAATTTTTAGGAATAACTCACTGAAATCTGTCCGGACAAGAGTCTAGTAAACATCCCGGGGATGATAAAATTTAAAACACAAAATCATAAATTATAATTTAATAAATAATCATAAAAAATAATAATAAATTTAATTCAATAATAAAATCAAACCAAAAACACTGAAATTTGAAATAGAGCGCCAAGTTCGCACATCGCTGAGCAAAGGCGCAAAATCGTTTTCCGTGTCCGATGACGAATTTCCCCCACGAATCATTATCACTCAATTCTGCAAGTGGTTCTGGTTTACTATTGCTGTTCTCTAGCTGGTCTAAAACCGCGTCTGACCTAAAGGGACGCTTTTTTGGACGCCATGGACGTTTCTCAGTTTCCAGGCAGAAAGAACAGTAAAAATGCAGGCAGGGCGCCAGACAAAGCACTCGGGACACAATGTATGTGAAATGGTTTGATACAGGAATGTTATACTATGTGATTTTTAGTCTATTTAGTGAATGTTACTTTTTGACATTTTTAAAATTTCCCGCCAGTTCCGTGCCCCGTACGCCCCGACGTCGCAGGGAACGGAACACGGAAGACAGATGCCGGCATTGGCCGGAGGAGATGGCCAGGGACACTGCAGGAGGGACATCGTGGGAGTGCAGGACAAGGTAAGTGCAGAAGAGATCCCAGAGCAACGCTGAAGTGTATTCCCGAGTGTAGCTCGGGGGAGGGGGGTTACCGCTTGTGGTGCTGAAACTTTACCCCGAGCTACTCGGGAATACCGCCAGGGAGGTTAAAGATTAAAGATTGGCACCTTTGAGCAGCGGCGGGGGGGAACCCTAATTTGACAGGTACCCGCTCCCACATCCGCTGCGGAAGAGAGAGTTTTCTTCCCCCCCTCCCTCCTTGTAGTCCTCTGGGACACATGACAGGTCCCAGAAGACTACAGAACCATTCAAAAAGCGTAGCGCTACTTGCGCATGTGCAGTGGGCACCCAACTGTGAAAAGCTGCAAGCTGTCACAGCCAGGCGCCCACACTGAAGATGCTGGCACCGGGGACACAGGACAGCGGAGGATGAGCTGCGGACAGATGCAGCATCGATCTGACGTCGTTCCCCCCCCCCCCCCCCCCCCCACACTTCACAGCCCAGCAATCCAGTGACCGCCGAAGGGGCAGAGCAGAGAGCCGGAGACTGACAGTCACGGCTCTCTGCTCAGAGGAGGAGAACTGAGCAATCAACGGTATTCGATGCTACATCCACCTAGGTGAGTATAACTGTTTGTTTATTTTAAAGCCCGTATTTCTCTTTTAATAGGATGAATACTTGTTGGTTGTATCACAACTAGGGAACACGAAAACACTAATGTGACAGAGCACTAGTAAGCTGAGATCGCTATGAAACTGTAATTAAGTCGAAATAGTTTTTAGCTATAGGTTATCCCTGCAGATTCAGGTGTCAAACGGAACACTAGTAGGTTCATATCTATGTATGATGTAACCTGACGGATTTGGAGCATTCACAAGGCAACCTAGGCAGGAGCCTAAGGCCCGGTGGATGTCCAGGGGGCCCAGGTACAGCCTTCATCTTCCTGCAGTAAGCTGGTTGAAAAGTGTAAGTTGTCATAGCTGTGCTCCCACTTGTCACTTTACAGGGGAGGAAGGACCTCTCGGCAGTTTATGTCTGTGGCTATGGCAGTCAAGTCAATGCAAATTTCTGCTTCTCTGCGCTTATTGCAATCCCTATTAATGTCAATCGAAGGGAGGGGGAGCGACCGAAGCCGCTGCCTTGCCTAGGGTCCCAATCTGTCCTGATCCAGTGACCAATGGCTCACCCTGTCCATGCACAGAAGGGGTATAAAAGGCATTTCTTTTGTATAATGTAAATGCAGATACATAACACAGGCTATATGGACCCTCTGAAACCCATTCTGATCCTTACCGAGGTTATGCTTCATTTCAGACAGTTCCTGCTGATGAAGCCACTGTAGTTTCTCGATCTCGATTCTTAATCGGCGAATCTGCAATGAGGACAGGATATTAAACAGGAGAGTAAATTTATCCAAAACACGATGGCATATAAGGCTGGATTTCAGTGAATACCTTGAGGGCCATCATTTACAGTCATATATAAACCCTAACAATGAACCATGGCCATAGATAGATCCAATCTGGGCCAGGTCCCTGCGGAGCCGGCTGAGATTCAATTCATCTATGGGCAGGCACAGATCAACTTCAGTACAACCAGTCTGTTGGATTATTTTCATGCGACCACTGCTGGTGGATATAGCCGCCAGTAGGGAACATTGTGTTCTGCTGGTGGGGAAGGCTTCCCGCAGGCAGGGCATGTTAGCACTATGAGAGGGATGATGTTGTAAGTGTTGATGGAGGAGTCTAGCAATCCTCTTTCCACCTGTGTTGGAAGGAAAGAAAATTGCATAATCTATGGCTGCTTTATTTGCTCCATTTTGGTCTGATAAATATCCCCTCAAAAGTGTTTTGTTAAAACTGATAAACAAATGTTGATTATTCCTGAAATCATGTCAGCTGATATCTTGCTGTGCTGTCTGCCTGCGCTGTGTTACATTGTTCCTACATAACCCTGTGATTTACAGAAACTCCTTTCCCTTAAGCTGGCCATAGATGATGTAATTTTATTTCCTGCAACCAGAGGCTGCAGGAAGAAAATCACTTGGTTCCCCCATCAACAGTGTCAGTGTTGATCGGGGAATCCCTTCCAATGAACTATTGCCCTCCACCTACCCTCCGGCCAGGAGAACACAGTGATTACTAGTAGTGGCTATGAAAGCCGTTAGCAGTAATGAAAATCCGACAGGCTGGGTGTACCCAAGCTCAGCGCTTCTCATGCATGCGCAGTGGGCACCCGGCTGTGAAGCTGCAAGCTGTCATAGCGGGTACCCACACTGAAGATGCCGGCGCCAGGGATAGAAGACGGCCAGTTAAACCAGCCGTGGTGAGGACACTGCTGGACCGAGGGACAGGTAAGTGGCTGTATTTTAAAAGTCAGCAGCTACAGGTTTTGTAGCTGCTGACTTTTATTTATTTTTTTTTTTTTTAGGTGGAACTCCGCTTTAAAGGATAAGTTCACCTTTCGTAACATATTACATGTTACACCCATACACAGGCTGTAACATGTTACGTTCAGACCGGACCCCGCTACCCGCTTTGACAGCTAGCGGGGAATCTCGCCCCTCGCTAGCTGGAAAATGTTTTTTTTTACGGGGCTCCACCCACATAGCTGCGTCACTCATTCACAGTCATCTGTGAATGAGAGACTACAAGTCCTGACAGCCTTAGCGGCTGAATGAAATACACAGTGCCGTGGGAGTTCATTCATTCTTCTTGTCAAAATATCTGTTTGCTCGTACACGCCGTACAACCTGTACATCCTGTATACCCCGTACATCCCATATACCCATACATCCCGTATAACCAGTACAACCTGTATACCCCGTACATCCCGTATACCCCGTACATCCCGTATACCCAGCACATCCCGTATACCCAGCACATCCCGTATACCCAGCACATCCCGTATACCCAGCACATCCCGTATACCCAGCACATCCCGTATACCCAGCACATCCCGTATACCCAGCACATCCCGTATACCCCGTACATCCCGTATACCCCGTACATCCCGTATACCCGCACATCCCGTATACCCAGCACATCCCGTATACCCAGCACATCCCGTATACCCAGCACATCCCGTATACCCAGCACATCCCGTATACCCAGCACATCCCGTATACCCCGTACATCCGTATACCCTGTACATCCCGTATACCCCGTATAACCCGTACATCCCGTATACCCAGTATATCCCGTATACCCAGTACATCCCGTATACCCAGTACATCCCGTATACCCCATACATCCCGTATACCCCATATGGCAAGCAGATATTCTGACAGGTCTGCAGGAGACCTGCATGGCATCAGCGATCTACTGAACGCTGGTGCACTGCATTCCAGGTTCCTGCAGACAAAAATAATAAATGCATATTTTTTACCTGCAAAAAAATGTGCATTTATTACTTTTTTCTAAAAGGTGAACTTATCCTTTAAAGTGGAGCTAAAGATGAAAAATAAATAAAATGCAAATGAGCAGGCTCTTTATTGCAAAAGACGCATGTATTCCTCTGCAATAAAATAGACTTTGCAATCCGCAGTAGAATGTACACTGAGCTGAGCACTGTGTCGGGATGACTGCACTCCTGTGCATGCATGGGAGACACGCCATCCCGTTCTGGTCAATCAAGACTGCCGAAGACCAGCACCCGGAGGAAGCCATAAAGGAGATGACCTTGCGGCATCGGACCCCTGCCTTCAGTTTCGCTTAAAGACATTAAGAACCTGAAAGTATGAAAATATGATGTAGCCACAAAAACTGCTCTCACGTGATTTGCAGTTATGTGCTTGTTAAAAATTGCCCCATCATTTCTCTTTAAAAGGCATTCATGCTCACGACATACCTCTGCTATGGTGCTTCCGGTGGTGTTTTTGGACAGGTCATTGTAGATTTCTGTCATCGTGCCTTTAATGGCCTCCATCATCTGAAAACAAGGAGAAGTTACAGATGTAGATGGATCACACTTGCCACTGGGCTCCCGGCGGCAGGATGAGTTGTTGAAGACAATTCAAGAAAAAAAAACAAATAATCAACTTCTATTAAAATGTTGAAAGCGACCCAAATATTTTTTCAAAAATCTGAAAATTCCTCACAGAATGAATAATTCCTCACCAAATTTCCACAGCTGTCGTAAAGTATGTCTAGCCAAAACTCATGCCTTAGCTGCGGATGGAGTGCTGAAGGGGTTACAGCCATTAAAAAATCTATTTTAATTTTATCACAATGGTCAGAAGATTTGTATACAAGAAAAACAGAACGTAGTTACATTGCAGAAAGGTGCCCCCATCTCTACTGTTGATATTCAGATATTAAAGTGAAAACTTGTTCAACAAAGTGGAACTAAAAGGCAAAACTTTATTTTTTTATTTTGGACAGAGGGTTATAAGCCCTCTGTGTCCCCATTGGGTTAGATTTACCTTCACTTCCTGTCCCATAGCCAAACAGGAAGTGAGAGGAAATCCCTGCAAATTAGGGAATCCCTTGGGGACCCCCCAGGTCACCAGAACTGGTGTCCCCATTTGAACATTTCCCCTCTATTACTTTTCTGGGGACAACCCAAAATTTAGGATTTTTTTTTTTTACTGTCACTTTCATGATAATGTTAAACAAGAAAAATAAAGAGGGTAAATCTTCTTATCGGGGGGCACAGACAGCAATAAACACCTGACAGGGGTTCTGATTCCTCACCACTCCTTCCAAAACTAAAAAAGAAAAATTTGCTTTTAGTTCTACTTTAAACAACTCTGTACACGTCATCTCAGGGATGAAGCTTACAGGTAGAGTGACCCTCCCAGGTGAGGTTAGTTCAGAAATGTCAGATTGAGACCCGCCGTTGAACTCACCTTGCTGGTGTATTTGGCGATGTCAGCGGCCACGTCGGCAGAGGCTGTGGCAATGGGCAGGTCACTGGTAATGGAGGAGCTCAGGGACTGTGCTGGGCTGGTCACCACGGCCAGCGGCGGGGCGCTGGTCACCAGCGTTATGGTGGACGTAGTTGTGGTCTGCGTGACTTCCTTCTGCTGCACGGCTATAATTACAAGAGGATGACATGAAATGATCAGAAACATGCTGACCGTTGCAGCTCTATATTATTAGCGTTTCAGAATGGACAGTGCTGCCAGAATACTTTAAATACATATATTGTCCTTTTGCAGGGTATGACTATGTAAAGAGCAGCATTAGAGGACTGTAGAGTAGAACACATGCTCACGGCACTCAGTATGGTTTCATCTTCCAAAATAAAGTGATACTAAAGGCTTTCTTCTGCTCTTCTCGGTTCCCCCACTGGAGCTCTGGACTCCTCCCCTCTGTTGAGTGCCCCTATAGCAAGCCACTCGTTATGGGGGCACTCACGTGTGCTCACTCCCGAGCCCGGCTCTGTGTGTCCATAAAACACACAGAATGGAGCTCGGCACCTCCCTCGCTCTGTCTTCCTCTGGCTGTGATTGACAGCAGCAGCTCTGAGCCAATGAGGAGGCAGAGAACCGGGACAGCAGCTGCTCTTCTGTACACCACTGGATCTGGATCGGGTAAGTATTAGAGGGGGCTGCGGGGAAATGCTGCACACAGAAGGTTAGAATACGTGAAAGTAAAACAACGTTCAGCTTTTCAACCCCTTTAAGCTGGCCATACACGGGTTAGTTTTCTTTTTGTTCAACCAGCATGTTGAATGGAAAAAAAACGACCCGATTCCCCCATCCACCTATTTGAGGTGGATGGGGAACCCTGAACAACAATAAAGCTCAGAGGCTCCTACAGTAGTTAGTATCGCATAAATTTGACAGGAATGATGCCCAATAACCAAAAAATCCAACAAAAACAAAATTGTGAAAATAGAATTCACAGAAGAAAGCGGTTACAAAAAGGGACATGCGATACTGAATAATCTCAGAAAATGATGGGTTATTCGCAAAGTTGCACATGAAAAATACTCAGGTAAGAGCTGCGATCAACCATATGGGAACCCTCCCGACTGCGTCATTGCATTCTGACAGCAGGGAGTCTTCCTTGTGCTCAGAATACACAGATCAGCACTGCAGTCTATTGCCTGCAGCACTGATCGAGCAGCTTCTTGCCAGCAGGGCGGATGAACAGACGTCAAATGGTAGATTGACTTCTGTTATACCAGGGCAGACAAATATTGACTGAAATTCAGATTAACTGATTGGATGTTGCCACCAACAGAGAAAACGAGTCCCTGCATCCTTGTTTCCTTGGTAACCCGGCGTCATTTAGCCCCAAGTCTACCAATAGAACATATTGTATGATCCACAGTACAAAAAAAAGTAAAAGGTGTAGATTATGACGAGGGCCTTGCTGTTAAACATACAAAAAGGTCCTAGGCCTGCGTTTCATACCTTTAACAGCCTGCCGCGTCTGGTATCTCGTGCCTTGCGGAGACTGAGGTGGCGCTGGGGTGCTTGGCTGGGTCGTCGTCTGCTGCTGCTGTTGTTGCCTTTGAACCTTCTGCATGTGCCATTTCTGCGATGAGGTCTGGAACTTGCTGGATGGGTTCCATACCACCTTCGGCACCGTGGGCGCGGTCTCTTTGGGCAGAAGGGGCCTCTGTTTCTTTACTGGGCTCCCTGTGGCTGCGGCCTGAGTGGTGGCAGAGGCTACAGCGCTGGTGGTCACTGTCACTCCGACTGCAGGGGCGGCCTGGGCTGCAGAACGCGTCATGATCGGGGTGTCCACGGCCGGCTGGCTACTGCTATTAGCAGAGGCCTTACCTGCGCAAAGAATTGCTAAGTCAGAAGAAACACAACATGCAAACACAATAAATCGATCTGCAGGCTGCAAGCAACAAACTAGGAAATGCCTGGGTTTAAATAAAGTGCACAGTCTGAGAATCTAGAGGGGTCTTCTGATCGATTGCCCCTACAACCAAGACAAGAGAAGTCAATTTACACCCATGACTTACCTCACCCTTCCTACACACGAAGCTTACCTGAATATACTAGAAGACTGGGGTTAGTGTACTGAAGGCAAACAGACTCAGCATGTTGCAAGTGCACTTGCATTGTGCTCCAGAGCTTAGGAAATGAGGGGAAGCTCTGCTGACTTCCATCATCCAATCACGTACAAGCAAAAGCGCAGTTTTGTTTATTTTCCTTGCATGTGACTGGGTAATCTTTGCAAAGCTTCGCCTCATTTACCAAGCTCTGGAGCAACTGCCCTCGCAAAGTGCACAGTCTATTTGACTTTAGTAACCCCTGTGTGCTGGCAGTCACTCTTGTGTCCAAGGTAGTCTGAAAGTGTCCCCGAGTGCCACCATAGTAAGCTTGCTATGGGGGCACTTGTGAGGATGCACTCTCGAGCCGGCTCTGTGTGTCTCCATAGAAACATACAGCATGGCTGTGGCCCCGCCCTCGCTCCCTCTTCACAAGATTCAACTGACAGCAGTGGGAGCCACTGGCTGTCACTGCTGCCTCTGTGTCCTGTTAATACAGGAAAAGAGAGCAGGGCTGCTACAGACGGGCAGAGTGCTAGATCAAGAGGAGCCAGGTAAGTATATAAAGGGGGGGGGGCTCTAATCATGGAAGGCTTTTGTTTACCTTAACCCCTTGACTCCGGCACCTCCTGACCCTTCAGTCTAGGTTCACACTAATGCGGTGCAGTATATCACATGTGATTCACACAGGTACTGCACCGCATTCCTGTGCAAATCACATGTGATTTGTGTGTGGTGCGATTGGAGCCATACACATTATGTATGGAACTATTCGCACCACACAAAAAAAAAAAAAAAAAAAAAAAAAAAAGGTACGGGACCCCTCTTTTTGGGTCCGCACTAGAATCGGATCACATGGGTACTCACACCTATGCGATCTGATTCTGCACATCGCACCGCATTTTGCAGACCAATTTCGGGGTTTTGTTAACTTAACATACACACCCACATCGGTTCGCATGAACGGGGTGTGATTCTGATGCGGTGTGGAATTCAAACAGAAACCGCTGCAAATTCCGCACCGCATCAAGAAAAGTGAACCCAGTCTTAAGGGGTTTTTGGCGCTAGGAAGTGGGGTTAAGGGTCTTGTGACCACAGTGATTGGCTGTCACAGTGGTCACATGATCAGAAAGCTCCCGATCACAAATAGCGATTGGGACCCTTCCGTGAGACGCCGGTAAATGTGACAGGAGCCCGCAGGACGCTTGATCTTGGCAAGTTTGTTTACATTGGGTACACAAATATGCAGCCACCATGGCCCAGCCCCTGAGAGGCCGCATATTTGCATGCTGTCGGCCCCAAGGAGTTAATGCAGTAACAAAAAAAAAAACCTTATACCTTTAGAACCACTTTAATTTACATTAAATCATTCTATGGAATAAGATAAAAAAGCCTTTTGCAAGCAGCTTTCCCCCCCCAACTCCCCTAAATACTTACCTGAACCCAATCTCCATCCAGCAACATGTCATGCATGAGGATCTCTCGGCTCCTCATGGACTTAGACATAGCAACAAGAGCCAATGTCAATCACAGCCAGTGAGGAGGGAGTGGGGTGCTCGGGGTTGAGCCGCGCTCTGTGTGTCTTATGGACACACAGAGCCCCGGCTTGGGAGCGAGTACACATGAGTACCCCCATAGCAAGCGGCTTGCTATGGGGGCGCTCGGCAAAGTTGAGGGGGCAAGAAGCGTCGGCGGGAGACCTGAGAGAAGAGGGAATCGGGGCTGCTCTGTGCAAAACCAATACACAGTAAGTATGACATGCTTTGACATAGCAACAAGAGCCAATGTCAAACACAGCCAGTGAGGAGGGAGTGGGGTGCTCGGGGTTGAGCCGCGCTCTGTGTGTCTTATGGACACACAGAGCCCTGGCTTGGGGAGCGAGCACACATGAGTACCCCCATAGCAAGCGGCTTGCTATGGGGGCACTCGACAAAGTTGAAGGGGCAAGAAGCGTCGGCGGGAGACCTGAGAGAAGAGGGAATCGGGGCTGCTCTGTGCAAAACCAATACACAGTAAGTATGACATGTTTGTTCTTTTTAAAAAGTAAAATCTGTGCCTTTACAATCACTTTCAAGTCCAGACTTCTCATCTGCCTACTGGTAACAGGTCAGCAGAAAGAACTAAAGTGACAGGATAAGCATGACATGTAAGTAAAGGAGGAATCAGCATCAACATCCTCCGTACTTCTCACACCCTGGACTGAACAATCTGAAGAAAATGAAAATATAGAATCACAGTCTCTTCCACAGAATGGAAAACCTCCATACCCTCTGTGGCAGAGTGCAGCTGGGGTATTTACAGCAGAACCTTCTTCATCTTACTTATTATGATAATGATCAGGAGAGACTTACTTTCCGGGTGCTTTGCTGGCGGTTCCTTAGCCTCTCTCTTAGACTTGCGTCCTTCCCGCCCCGAGTGATCCTCCCCGAGGTCTATAACCAGTTCGCTCTCAGAGTCCGAATCCAGGCCAAGACGTACCGTTGGTGAGTCCGTATCGTCCTTCCCTTTCAGTTTGTCCTTAGCGGAGTGTGTTTTGCCTTTATCAGGAGCGTCTTTCTCTGCAGCAGGGGCTGGCTTCTCCTTCCCCGTCACCTCTCCCTTCTCTGCCACTGCGGAAGCACTTTTGCTGTTATCTTTCACCTCTGCCGTGCCGGCGGGTTTGGCCTTCTTCTTCAACGACGTAGGAGGGGAGACGGCCTTGTTGACTTTTACACTCTCTTTGTCATCCTCATCCCGCTCATTCTTTGGCTTTTCCTCGTCGCTAACATACTCGCTGTCGCTAGAATCTGTCTTCTCAGACTCCTCAGAGTCGCTGTGCTCCGCTGCGGCATAGGCGTCATCCGGAATCTCATTAATTCCTGCGTTTAAAAGAGACATTAATCCCCGTCAATCAAACAAATCAGTGTGTGGCTTTTAGAGGTCTTATCACAAGTGATAAATATTCTGAGGTACCTAATTGAGCTTTGCAGCTTTCGATGGTTTTGTCGAGGTTCAGCTGAAATCGGCTGCGAATTTGCCTCTTGGGGGAGATGAGGGATGTCGGCGTTGACTGCTGAAGAACCGACTCACTGAGTTCCTTTAGGTCCATCTCTGCCTTACTACGATCTAAAGAAAGAAATTTAAATACAGCCAGTTCAAATACAACAAGTTTAGAAGTATGTGGAACTGAACTTTAAAGGTGAGAGTCTTATAGAGTCTTATAGAGCAAATCTAGAAATATTCTTGTGCCTAGGCACTCCTTTCTGTAGCCTTAACGCTGTATATGTGCAATGTAAGGCCATTTAAGACATTTCTGCCTCTGAATGCTAGTCTCACCAGACCTGGAGTGAGATTTGGTGATATCACTACTGTGCAACTCACTGTTCTCCTTGCTGGAGAGGAAGCTGTAACTGAGGACCTGCAATGCAAAGATCTCCCTGCTTCTGAGCCTGGCAATCCCTGTGGATTTAGAGTGAGATTTGGTGATGTCACTACTGTTGTGCTCACTGTTCCCCTTGCTGGAAAGGAAGCTGTAACTGAGGACCTGCAGTGCAAGGATCTATTGGCTTTCAAGCCTGGCAATCTCCAGAGATTTGGTAATGTCCCTACTGTTCTTCTCACTGTTCTCCTTGCTGGTGAGGAAGCTAAACCTGAGGACCTGCAATGCAAGGATCTCCCTGCTTCCAACTTCCAAGCCTGGCAATCTCCAGAGATTTGGTAATGTCCCTACTGTTCTCCTTGCTGGTGAGGAAGCTAAACCTGAGGACCTGCAATGCAAGGATCTCCCTGCTTCCAACTTCCAAGCCTGGCAATCTCCAGAGATTTGGTAATGTCCCTACTGTTCTCCTTGCTGGTGAGGAAGCTAAACCTGAGGACCTGCAATGCAAGGATCTCCCTGCTTCCAACTTCCAAGCCTGGCAATCTCCAGAGATTTGGTAATGTCACTACTGTTCTTCTCACTGTTCTCCTTGCTGGTGAGGAAGCTAAACCTGAGGACCTGCAAGGCAAGGAAGTCTCTGCTTCATCTATTCTGTGGATTTGTGCTTCCCCACCTCTCCTGCTGCTTCTTGATCATTACTCCACCAGTCATCAGACCACCAGACATTGGGGGGGGGCAAGCTCTGAGATAAGGAGTCCAGGATAAGTCCAGCTCTTTTACCTTGATGGCTGCCTCCACAAAGAGACAAAGGGCATGACAAGGCATGGTAAGCCAATAACAGGGAAAAAATCACAAGAAATATCGGTGACCAGCCCTTTGCCCTCTGCTTGTATATCAGGCACAGCTTTCATAATTCAGGAGTTCTTTGTTGCAATGATGCTATCTTTACAGTTTTCAGAAATACATACAAAAGCAGTTTGCTTAAAGTGACCCTATGCTTCGTCCTTAAAGGCAAACCCCTAAGTTCCCTGTCGCACTGTTCAGCTGCCAGCAGTAAGGACAGAAAGTCTTGTATATTTCCCTCCTGTCTGACTTTACACAAGGCTGCGGACTCATCCTGCCCCATGTGATAGGGCTGGGCCAAGAAAAAAGCAATGCACTGAAGTCAATATCTCCTCAAAGATAAAAACCAATGCTAGGAGTGCCCTGCCTGCCCTAAACCAACGGTATGTTATGTGATTTGTTTGCACTGCCTAAGGGAAACTACACAGTGTTTATACTAAGCTGCTATTGCAAAGCTTGTGGATATATAAATTCTGGTGTGAATTTACTGTATAATTCAGGCATAGATTTTTCATCTCTAGACTGGCCAAGATTGCAGAATAACTGCAGAGGTTAAACCAGTTGCAGGGTAATCCCACTCATTAGTATATCTCCCCTCCTCATATTTTTTTTTTTTAAATACATTGTGAACCTTTCCCGACTGCCGTTAGTCACTGACCGAGGTTGAGGTTGAGAATGCTGCCAGTGCTGCTGCTCCTGTCCGGTTTAGCCGCTAGCGGAGTGGAAGAGTGAGGAGAGAAAGGCTTCGGGCTGTCCGTGATGCTCCCTCCATGCCCAGTCTTTGTAGAAACAGGTGAAGCTGTGAAATCAATTGGAATGCCATTAAATCATCACAAACAAATAAATGGGAAATGGGCTGGAGATGCATTATTTTCATTATTCTATTTTACTGAAACTGAACGGGCAAAAAGACAAATACGTAAATAAATACATACATACACACATATATATATGTAGAATTGATATTTCTGCCCATCCGGTCCGGGGATTTAAATAGCTTTGTCAGATAGCAAGGTCATCCAGGTGACTGATTTTTTCCTCTACTGCAGTTGACTAACACAGCCTGGTCAACTCCCCATCCCCAGCCTGTGACTGGACAGGGAAGGAGCAGCAGAAGACCATGGAGCTCATTTTTCTGCCCCCAGCATGTAGCCTGAAGAGAGCCTCATACAAAGGTAACCTTTTGTAGGTAGGGGATGTGCAAGCCATGCACACGCCCTACCCGTGCTGCTATTCGCAGCCTCGACTGTCAATCACGGGTCCCGGACGGTGATTGACAGTCGAGGCTGCGAATAGCAGCACGGCACCCAGTGATTGAGGAGGATTACCATGCGGTGGGGAGAGATCTGTAAGTAAACATTACAGTTCTCTCCCCTGTCAGCTCCTGCACACTGCTATACATGGCTTTACATAGCGGCATGCTTACAGTGAAGCACAAACACACAGCACATAGTCAAACAGCACACAGTTAACCCTTTGATCGCCCCAGATGTTAACCCCTTCCTGCCCAGTGCCATTAGTACAGTGTCAGAGCTTTTTATTTTCACTGATCACTGCATTGGTGTTACTGAGGATGTCAGTGACACCAAGTCAGTAGCACCCAGTGTCAGAATGCCCACTGCAGTCCAGCTATAAGTCGCTGATCGCCGCCATTACTAGTAAAAAATAAAATACACGTATTTGGATTTATTCTAGCAAAGATGTGTAGCAGAATACAATTTGGCTTAAATTTAAGTGGAAATTTGATTTTTTTTATACATTTCATTGTGGCCCCCGACTGGTTACCAAGTCACTTACGTGACCCTCGCTCTTCAAAAGGTTGAGCCCCACCCCTGCTCTAAATAGCCCGTAATCCTATTCTTCCATACCTGTGCTTCTATCAATGAAGTCCATCGACTCTTCACTTGCGCTGAAGTGACTGGACGCCACTTTCTTATCGGCGTCTTGTTCTACATCAGAGCCCGTGTGTACGGAGGAGTTTGTGCTCATCGGTGAGCGGGGCATGTCCGTTAATGAAATCCGCCTACCCCCGCTGCTGTTCAGCATGGGCTTGCTCATCAGGATCTTCGGCGAGGCCGTCATGTCGAAGTTCAGCTTGATCTTCTCTTGCTTTTCGGTTTTGGCGGTGCCGGCGTTGGGGTTATTGGTGTCCAGCAGCATTTGGTATTGGTTGTTTGGCGTGTAAGGCGTCCGGAAGGGAGCGTAGTTAAAAACGCCGAAACGCTTGCGGATGTTCTCCACGTAGACTTCCATCTCCTGCATGGCGCTGTTGAAGATGCTTTTCGTCTTTTTAACAGAAAAAGGGATTTCTTTGGACATGAGGTAGCAGTTATTCATGGGGACCAGGCCCTGGAGGAATAAAAACACAGATTATTCACCCACGCCACAAATCATCCAAACAATATATATAGAACAGGATGAGAATGACACCAATCAAGGATAAAGGTCAGTAAAAGTTTATTGATCACAATGAGAGTCCAGAAGGACTGCAGGAGCAAATTGGATCCTGCTTTATTGGGGTTTTTTGCCTTCCTCTGGATCACCCGTGGGTATAAGATTGTGTATAAAGGGTTGTATAAATGTTTTGTTTCCTCTTTTGTTAGTTTAACTAGAATCTAGAAGGCCTTGAAACTTCCATTCGCCTGCTCGCCAATGGCGAGTGGAAATTATGGTGGGGGAGAGTGTGTCCCCCAGGGCCATCTTGCTGAGCAGGCTCGAAGCTCAGGCCGGATCTGTCATTGGCACTGGGAGCCGTCAGACTGCTCAATAGCTGAGTGCAGTGAAAGCAAAGGAAGGAGTGTGTGCTGTGCTCTCTGCCTCCCCCTAGAGTGCAGTACCCGGCTCTGTGAGTGAACAACGAAGTACTGCAACTTTTTATAGGGCTGTGTGTGTGTGTGTCTACCTAATTTCAGCTCACTCTGGTCACATGATCATCTATGTTAGCCAGTGGTGGCTTCAGGGGAGAGGAGAGAGCACTTAACAGCGTGCGTGTGTGTGTGTCTATGTATGCATGTACATGTGTCTATCTGTACATGTGTCTGCGTGTATGTACATGTATGTGTGTGTACATGAGTCTGTCTGTGTATGTACATCTGTTTGTATGCAAGTACATGTGTCTGTGCGTGTGTATTTCTGTGTATGTACATGTATCTGTGTGTGTATACATGTGTCTGTATGTGTGTGTGTACATGTTTCTGTGTGTATGTACATGTATGTGTGTACAGATGTCTGTTTGTGTTTGTTGGTGTCGAGTAACTCTTAAGGCCTGGCTAGTAGCTCAGGACTTGAAATTTTAAGCCCTGAATTAGATGGACATGTTTCTTTTTTCAACCAGACTAACTATGTAACTATGATACAAATCCTCCCACACAGGCTGTACCTGTCTATCTGCAGTCTTCTTCTCTGTGCCACAAAGCCCAGAATTTATAAAGCTTGTTTGAAAGTTCAGAAAAAAGGGGGCAGAGAGTGGAATACACACACTGCAGAGCTCAGTCAAGCGAGTTCTGAGAGCTGATTGGAGGGAAGAGACACCCCCCCCTCCACACAGCACATAGGAAAAGAGCTGAGGCTGTCAATCAGCTAGAGCTCCCTCCCCGTCACTATTTTTCTCTTGGTGTCAGGAAAACTCCTCAGAAGTGACTCATGCTGATAGCAGAGGACGGAGACAGCAGACAGAAATGACACTCAGTGCTCCGGACTGAGACAAGCACACACTATAGAGGGATGTGTTTTGTTCATATTTCATGTCTGAGGTTTACAACCACTTTAAATTACTTTAGATTTGAAATAATCCATGAGGATTTGCAACTAACATCAAAATATTTATGTACAGCAAAGTGTCCTATCCCACTGCAGGCTGACAACCTTTTTACTCCCCCGACAATGGGTGCAAGCTTCTGGCGGTCGCTGGCTGTTCCATAAGGTCGACTCCCAACACTAGAGAAAAGAAGCATCTCTCCATTAAAAAGCTCATATACTTTTATTGAAGTGTTCCAAGTGCTAGCCTATACATACACTATATTGCCCAAAGTATTGGCCCGCCCTCCAAATCATGTGATTCAGGTGTTTCAATCCCCTCCTTGGACACAGGTGTATACAATCAAGCCCCTTTGGTGAAAGAATGGGTCGCTCTCGGGAGCTCAGTGACTCCAAGCGTGGTCCCGTGATAGGTGGTCACCTGTGCAACAAGTCCATCCGTGACATTTCCTGGCTACTAAATATTCAGTTGTTAGTGGGATTATAACAAAGTGGAAGCATCTGGGAAAAACAGCCACTCAGCCACCAAGTGGTAGGCCACGTCACATGACAGGGCGGGGTCAGTGCATGCTGAAGTGCACAGTGCACAGAAGTCACCAACTGTCTGCAGAGTCAATAGCTAAAGACCTCCAAACTTGGTGTGGCCTTCAGATGAGCCCAACAACAGTGCGTAGAGAGCTTCATGGAATGGGTTTCCATGGCCGAGCAGCTGCATCCAAGCCTTCCATCACCAAGTGCAATGCAAAGCGTCGGATGCCGTGGTGTAAAGCACGCTGCCACTGGACTCTAGAACAGTGGAGGCGTGTTCTCTGGAGTGACCAATCACGCTTCCCTGTCTGGAAATCTGATGGAAGTGTCTGAATTTGGGGGTTGCCAGGAGAACGGTACTTGCTTGACTACATTGTGCCAAGTGTAAAGTTTGGTGTAGGGGGGATTATGGTGTGGGGTTGTTTTTCAGGGATTGGGCTTGGCCCCCTAGTTCCAGTGAAGGGAACTCTCAAGGTGACATTTTTGACAATTTCTTGCTCCCCTTCCTGTTCCAACATGACTGCGCACCAGTGCACAAAGCAAGGTCCATAAAGACATGGAGGAGCCAGTTTGGGGTGGAGGAACTTGACTGGCCTGCAGAGTCCTGACCTCAACCCCATAGAACACCTTTGGGATGAATTAGAGCGGAGACTGCAAGCCAGGCCTTCTCCCCCGACATCAGTGCCTGACCTGACAAATGTGCTTCTGGAAGAATGGTCCAACCTTCCCATAGACACCCTCCTAAACCTTGTGGACGGCCTTCCCAGAAGAGTTGAAGCTGTTATAGCTGCAAAGGGCGGGGCAGACTCAATATTGAAAGGACGGCGGCCCAATACTTTTGGCAATATAATGTATGTCCCACGAGAGCGGCTTCTTTTCTCTTGTATTTGGAAACAGACCAAAATATTGTTTTATAAACTGGGGTTCTAAAACTCCACCAACTCTTTATGTTGCAAAAAAAAAAATTGCAGTCCACCTTGTTCCCAGGTCATGTACAAGTGGTATAAAGAGACACTGTCACTTCCCCTGACACTCACCATTCAAGCAATACCCCTCCATTCCTCTCACAATTGCAGCTGCTACCAGAATATTAGGTGGCGGCCAGTCTTAAAGCCAAGAGGGAACAGTAGGGACACCCTCCCTATGTCATGTGACAATGCATAGGCCTAGTGATTGGCTGCTAGGCCCAAGACATTCCATCAAAGGATGAGGTCACTTGCCTCCCTATACCTGGTGTTTTTATTCCAGCTGCAATGGAGGAAGACGCGGCAGGCGAGTGTCAGTGGGTTGGCTGGTGGCTTTAAAATAATGTGTGAGCGGAGTGCAGCCCTTCTTCTTTATGGGGTGGCACTGCACTTCTCAACACAATCTGATGGGCATTGGGGGTGGTCTTCCATCCCTCTCTGTCAATCTCCTGCTTGCCCAATTAATGAAAACCAAAATACTAACAACATGCAAAGCCGCCCTCAATTCAGCCCTGAGCTGCAGCACTAACCTGGTCTCAAAATATCACCCGGACCATTCTCTATGCTCCTCCAAAGACTTCCTGCTCTTTAGCTCCCTTGTCACTCTTCCCATGCTCTCCTCCAAGACTTCTCCAGAGCCTTTCCCATCCTCTGGAAATCCCTACCCCAATATGTCCAGCTACCTCCTACTCCAAACATCACTAAATGGTGGACTGCAGTCCGTAGCAAGACCGGGTGATATCCCACCTGTCGTGCTGTCCGAAGAATCGCGCATCCACCTGTCCATCTTTATCTCGCAGGGCCTTTGCTGGCCAGAATGGGAATCCTTTTAATTTTGCCCAGACCAGGGGATGTGGATTACTCTGGAGAGAACAGAACACAAGATTAATCAAAGGAGAAAACGCCAGATCCTGTCTATCATCCAGATCCTGTCTATCATCCAGATCCTGTCTATCATCCAGATCCTATCTATCATCCAGATCCTGTCTATCATCCAGATCCTGTCTATCATCCAGATCCTATCTATCATCCAGATCCTGTCTATCATCCAGATCCTATCTATCATCCAGATCATGTCTATCATCCAGATCCTGCCACCTACAGATGATCATTGGCTCGTCTCTGCTATCCTACATTCACGCATTGTACAGTTCACACCACCATCCATGCGTTCGCACATGTTGTGTCTATATGCGTTTAAGAGGTGTTGCGCTGCATTTCGCTCGATTTAAATCGCACGATGCGAATGAACGCATTATAAAATGCAGCGCACTGGACTTGTTCCCAACATAGTGCAATGCAACCCATAGGAGACAACAGGTGCTACTGAGGACAATGGGGTGAATTTACAAAGACAGGGCAGATGGGCAGACAAAACGTGAAGCAGAGGTGCAGAGTAAACAGTCAGCCAGTTCAGCTTGGAAAATGAAAAGTAGCTGCTGATGGGTTGCCTTGCACAGCTGCTCCAGATTCTGGCTGCCCAAGTCATAGTAAATGCCCCTCAATGTGTTTTCTCTTGCTCAAAAAACGCAAAACCAGGCATCCGGTGTGAACGAGTCCTCAGTAATGGTCTAAACCACATGCGTCAAACACAGGACCCGTGGGTCCAATCCGGCCCTCCAGGCCATTTCATGTGGCCCTCGCAGCTCTTCTGCAGCTGTGGCCCCCCTCATCTCTGCCCCCACCTTGTCTCAGAAGTCAGCAGCAGAGAGGAGGACAGAACTCCTCCGCTAGATCCTGCACTTCTTTGTGCAGCCGCGAAGAGGCATCACTCCCTGCCCCACCAATCTCAGCAGTCAGCAGTAGAGAGGAGGACAGGACTCTCCCAATAAATCCTGGACTTCTCTGCAGCTGCAGCACCGCCTGGTCTCCACTTGCCCCTGGTCTCAGCACTCAGCAGCAGAGAGGAGGACAGAACTCCTCCGCCAGATCCTGGGCTTCTCTGCAGCTGCAGCACTGCCTGGCCTCCACCTCCCCCTGGTCTCAGCACTCCATCTCGTCTCCCCCTCCCCCGGTCTTAGCATTCAGCAACAGAGAGGAGGACATAACTCCCCCAATAAACCCTGGGATTCTCTGCAGCTGCAGCACTGCCTGGTCTCCACCTCCCCCTGGTCTCAGCATTCAGCAGCAGAGAGGACAGAACTCCTCCGCCAGATCCTGGACTTCTCTGCAGCTGCAGCACTGCCTGGTGTCCACTTCCCCCCGGTCTCAGCACTCATCAGCAGAGAGGACAACAGAACTCCTCTGCCAGATCCTGGGCTTCTCTGCAGCCTCAGCACCATCTCGTCTCCCCCCCTCACCCGGTCTCAGCATTCAGCAGCAGAAAGGACAACAGAACTCCTCTGCCAGATCCTGGGCTTCTCTGCAGCCTCAGCACCATCTCGTCTCCCCCTCACCCGGTCTCAGCATTCAGCAGCAGAGAGGACAACAGAACTCCTCTGCCAGATCCTGGGCTTCTCTGCACCACCTCGTTTCCGCCCTCCCCCGGTCTCAACTTTCAGCAGCAGAGAGGAGGACAGAACTCCTGGACTTCTATGCACCACCTTGTCTCAGCATTCAGCAGCTGCCAAGCCGACTCCAGCCCTCTTCTGGTCCTCCTCCAGACCCTGCACTTTCTGGTTCCCAGTTTCGCCCCCAGATTCTTCCCGGCAGCAGCACAAGGTAAAAGGGGCATCTACCCCATGAAACCCCCCCACACACACACACAAATATTGTGTGCAAATAAATGGTCATACTGAAAATATTTCAAAACAGATAAAATTCTGACATACAGCCCAATGTTTAAAATTTAAAGTGGAACTTTACTCATAACTTGATAAAAAATAATGTTCTTCATCCGTTCCACATGAATAATTCTGCTACCAAAATCAGTGTGTGCTTTGTGGCCTCCAGCATTGCTCCTGCTTCTTCTTGCTGGAGGCGGCCATTTTGCTGAAGGCCAGAGCCCCTGAGCAGCAGTAAATCTTAAGGCTGCCTGCAGATCCACCACTACATTTTCAGCACAGTGCAAAAAAAAGAGAGCAACTGAGCATGTGCGAAGCAGGGTAAGAAAGTGCATGACTGGATTTTAACCACTTCAATACTGGCCACTCCACCCCCTTCCTGGCCAGACCAATTTTCAGCTTTCAGCGCTGTCACACTTTGAATGACAATTGCGCGGTCATGCAACACTCTAACCATATTAAATTTTTCTCAATTTTTCTCGCACAAATAGAACTTTCTTTTAGTTTTATTTAATCACCATTGGTGTTGTTTTTTTTTTTTTTTGCTAAAAAAAAAAAATTTAAAAAAAGACCAAAATGTTTGGAAAAAAAAAAACTAAAAAATTTTATTTTTTAGTTTCTGTTATACAATTTAGCAAACAAGTAATTTTTCTTCTACACTGATGTGTGCTGATAGGCTGCACTGATGGGCACTGATGAGGCTGTGCCAGGGGCGGAATGACAACTCATGGGGCCCACGGACAATAGGAGATCATGGGGCCCCTGTGTCCTCACCCAATCTCAAACCACACCCAAAAAAGCCTATGAAAGGTACCAGGGGCGTCTCATGGGGCCCCCTACTGACCCCGGGCCCTCGGGCAGTGCCCGAGTGCAAGAATGGTCAGTCCGCCCCTGGGCTGCGCTAATATATACGCTACTGATGGACACTGATAGGCGGCACTGATATTTAGGGCACTGATTATCTCTGTACATGTCCCCATCATCCTTCCTGGTTACCGGTTCTCCTCCACTTGCGCTGTGACAACGCGCAAGGAAAGGACTGCCGATAACCAGCAAGTGTGTTTACATTGTGATCAGCTGTGATTGAACACAGTTTATCACATGGTAAAGGATCGCTGTGATTGGCCCTTTACTGTGAACTGTGATCAGGTGACAGAGCATGCCTGAATGCGTGCCCCAGAACACAGGGGGTGTGGCTCTGAGAGGGCATCCATCTTCACAGCTCTTCAGCACAAAGTATAGGTGACACTGATGGACACTGATATTTAGGGCACTGATTATCTCTGTACATGTCCCCATCATCCTTCCTGGTTACCGGTTCTCCTCCCTTGCGCTGTGACAACGCGCAAGGAAAGGACTGCCGATAACCAGCAAGTGTGTTTACATTGTGATCAGCTGTGATTGAAAACAGTTTATCACATGGTAAAGGATCGCTGTGATTGGCCCTTTACTGTGAACTGTGATCAGGTGACAGAGCATGCCGGAATGCGTGCCCCAGAACACAGGGGGTGTGGCTCTGAGAGGGCATCCATCTTCACAGCTCTTCAGCACACAGTATAGGTGACACTGATGGACACTGATATTTAGGGCACTGATTATCTCTGTACATGTCCCCTGTCATCCTTCCTGGTTACCGGTTCTCCTCCCCTTGCGCTGTGACAACGCGCAAGGAAAGGACTGCCGATAACCAGCAAGTGTGTTTACATTGTGATCAGCTGTGATTGGACACAGTTCATCACATGGTAAAGGATCGCTGTGATTGGCCCTTTACTGTGAACTGTGATCAGGTGACAGAGCATGCCGGAATGCGTGCCCCAGAACACAGGGGGTGTGGCTCTGAGAGGGCATCCATCTTCACAGCTCTTCAGCACACAGTATTGTTGATCAATAATGTACCATAGCACCCTGAGGAAGACCGGAGTTGTCAGTACGATACAAAGATCTGTCACGGAATGGTATACTCACACACGGTTCACAAAACCAGTTCTCTCTTTTTTGGCAAGCGGCTAAATAACATTCAGGACAAACTTCAATCTCGTTCATCTGTAACAGAGGAAAGCAGAGAGGTCATATTCGGCGGGAGACGTCATAAACCTGGCAGGCCGTGTTGCTTCCTTCACTTTTACCTACACATGGTGGTTAGAGCAAACAGGAAACAGACGTGTGATTTCCCCGTTTACATGTTTGGGTCAGGAGTGTGAACAGGTTAGTATACAATGTAGCGTAAAACGTTTTGCCAATGTTTGTCAATGTACACACTAAAAACACAAACAAACGATACACAATAAAAATCTCCAGCTGCTACACTTTGCTGAGCCCGGGTTCACACTAATGCGGCAAATCGCACGTGATTCGCACAGGAACCGAACCGCATTCCTGTACATAGCACATGCAATGTCTGTGCGGTGCGATTTGAGCCATAGAGTTTGTATGGCTCAAATCACATCCGCACCAAGAAGGTGCAAGACCCTTTTTTTTTCTCCCGCACCTGATTCGCATGGCATGCGGATTAACAGCCATGCGATGTGAATTGTGGCAATCGCACTGCGTCTTGCTATCTGTTTCGGGGTGTTGTAAATGTAACATTGACACCCATACCAGACGGGAAACAGACAGGATTCGCCGCGTTTCGCGCATCACATTAGTGTGAACCAGGGCTCAAGCGGTATTATTAAACCCAGAAAGCACCACTAATCCCTCTAATTATCACTTTTGCTGGACAGCTTGGTATGCACGTTAATGCGTAGAAATGTATAAATAATATCTGTAATGATCGTATTCAGAAAATTCCTCCCCCCCCCCCCCCCCCCCGTTTCCAGGTTTTTATCGTCATACAGATAGCCGGGTCATTTTAGCTATAGCAGACTTTTAACCGATGAGCCATGTGCAATTTCTTCCATCCATTGTATTTATTATTTCGTATATTTCAGGTACTTATATAGAACCATCAATTTACGCAGCACTTTACATGTATTTTGTACATTCACATCAGTCCCTGACCCTCAAGGGGTGTACAATCTAAGGTCCCTAACCCTCAAGGGGCGTACAATCTAAGGTCCCTAACCCTCAAGGGGCGTACAATCTAAGGTCCCTAACCCTCAGGGGGTGTACAATCTAAGGTCCCTAACCCTCAAGGGGTGTACAATCTAAGGTCCCTAACCCTCAAGGGGCGTACAATCTAAAGTCTCTAACTCACATTCATACATACACATTCTTGTATTATGAGAGGTATAGACTCCAGAGAGAGGGATATCACCCCCCCCCCCCCCTTCCCCCTCAGGTACAAATCATTAGGAAGACAGGAATCATTGTGTTAGACTAACAGCATGTTTTTGGAGTGTGGGAGGAAACCGGGAGTAACCGGAGGAAACCCATGCAGGCACAGGGACAACATGCAAACTCCAGGCAGGTGGTGCCGTAGTTGGGATTCGAACCAATGAGCCTAGCACAGCCAGGTGGAAGTGCTAACCATTAGCCACCGTGCTGCACATAATCGATCTCAGACAATCAATATCGATAACAAAAATTCATTGGAGATAGCTGTGGAAAAAAAATGGTCTAAGGATAGTGCAAAGCTTCTATTTTTTTTTTGAGACGGTGACATAGCAGTAAATCAACAGCAGGAGGCGCTGGTGATCCCAGCAATCAGTTCTGAGCCAGGGAGGATCTCAGACACAAATCAGAAGCCATTATAAAGTGCTGAGCAGGCCGCATAGCATGCTGATGAAGCAAATGCCATCTCCTAAATAGAGGTAACCCCTAGGCTGCTGGAAGGAAGCAAATCTGATGAGTCTGGCTTGAGAAGGAGTGGGCAAAGCTTAGAGGACAAGGCCCATGGCCTGAGACTGAGAAGTACACAGCGTGGCAGGGGCGGACTGACAACTCATGGGGCCCCCAGGCAATAGGGGATCATGGGGACCGTGTCCTTGCCACACCCAAAAAAGCCTATGAAAAAGCCAAGGAAAGGTACCATGGGCATCTCATGGGCCTCGGGTAGTGCCTGAGTGCTGGAATGGTCAGTCTGCCCCTGCAGCGTGGTCCATCCCCAACGTCAGCTACAGAAGCCTCATTACCCGGCTACAGTACCAGAGACTGCACGTGGCTGAGGCTGTATGTACTCCATACACATTGTCAAATCATGATAATCATGTGCATTTTTACCCCCTTGATGACAGCCCAACACATATGTGCAGGAGCAAAAGGGTGGGATTTAACGGCGTACGCCACACACAGGCGTCACGGTGCGGCCATTGTTTATGTGCTGAGGCTGCGCTCACTACGCCCTCTCAGCACAAAGACTGAACTCTAGGGCCAGGCTACAGGTCAGTACCTGATTGGACCAGCCTGTGATTGTGTGATCACCGATCTTTGCAGCCCCCCCAGCCATTCCAGACTTTTTAAGGGGATGTTGGGGCAGGTGGGAAAGGATTAAAGACGTAGCTCACCGTTACCAAAGGGGTGCCTGTAGATAAAAACAAACTGGGCAGCTCTGACTTAAGTGGAATAAAGCCTTGGTATAGGTGTAGTCTGTTTACATTCCCCCTGAAGCCTGATTGAAATACTCCCAGAACGTTGCTAGGATGTTGCTAAGTGAGGATTAGTCATTACTGCTCACCTCTATTATCATAGGAAAAGCTCTCAAACCCTCTGCTTAGAGCTAGTGCATCATGGGAGTGAATAAAGTCCTTGCTATAGGTATAAGTCTAGATGAAAAACTTCCAGAGATGGCGATATCCTGTCCTGCCTTGTTACTATGATGTTGCTAAGTGAGGACTAGTCATTACTGCTCACTGCCACCATCATAGGAGAAGCTCTCAAGCCCTCTGCTTAGAGCTAGTGCATCAGGGGAGTATATAACGTCCTTGCTATAGGTATAAGTTTAGATGAAAAACTTACAGAGATAGCAACATAATAGCAACAAGGCAGGACAGGATATCGCCATTTCTGGAAGTTTTTCATCTAGACTTATACCTATAGCAAGGATGCTATATACTCCCCTGATGCACTAGCTCTAAGCAGAGGGCTTGAGAGCTTCTCCTATGATGGTGGCAGTGAGCAGTAATGACTATTCCTCACTTAGCAACATCATAGCAACAAGGCAGGACAGGATATCGCCATCTCTGGAAGTTTTTCATCTAGATTTATACCTATAGCAAGGACTTTATATACTCCCCTGATGCACTAGCTCTAAGCAGAGGGTTTGAGATCTTTTTCTATGATGGTGGAGGTGAACAGTAATGACTAGTCCACACTTAGCAACATAATAGCAAAAAGGCAGGACAGGATGATGCCAAGTGAGGACTAGCCATTACTGTTCGCCTCCACCATCATAGAGAAGCTCTCAAGCCCTGTGCTTAGAGCTAGTGCATCAGGGGAGTATATAAAGTCCTTGCTATAGGTATAAGTCTAGATGAAAAACTTCCAGAGATGGCACTATCCTGTCCTGCCTTGTTGCTATGATGTTGCTAAGTGAGGACTAGTCATTACTGCTCACTGCCACCATCATAGGAGAAGCTCTCAATCCCTCTGCTTAGAGCTACTGCATCAGGGGAGTGAATAATGCCCTTGCTATAGGTATAAGCCTAAATAAAAACCTTCCCTAGATGGATCATCCTGTTTTGCTTTGTTGCTAGGAAGTTGCTAAGACACTCCCTACTTTTACTGTTCACCCCCACCATCACAGGAGTGAGCTCTCAAGAGCTGAGCTCAAAGCCTCTGTGCTGGGAGAGAGAAATAGCATTTGAGGGGGTTTGAATTTAGTATAAGAGCTCACTCCTGTGATGGTGGAAGTGAAGAGTAACAGCGGGGGGTGCCTTAGCAACATCCCAGGCAGGTCAGGATGATGCCATGTCTAGCAGTTTTTCTAGCCAGGCTTTGGAAGATACCTAAACGGCCTACACCTATAGCTAGAGCATTATACAACTTTGTTCAAAGCTGCACAGTTTGTTTCTTTTTTATCTACAGGCTCCCCTTACCTACATAGGCAGTTTTTTGGTAAAGATGAACTATGCCTTTAAATAAAAAAAAAAAAAAAAAAAAAAAAGACCACACAGGATAATTGGCGAACACCACAGAGTGTATTTAAAAAGCTGCAAATTAAAGCGGATCTATACTCACAGCTCCAGCGAAGCCTGCCTTCCCCGTCCAGCCGCTGACATATTCGGGTGGCCGACTTCCGGGTCTTGATCGATGGCCAGTGTCATTGGCCGGGCGGGGATGAGGTCACACACGCGCATGCAAGAGTCAAATTCTCCATTGCCGAATTTGTACAGTGAGATGCGCATGCGTGACCCACTGTACGGGGGCGAACAAGCAAGTTACTTTAATTCAGAAGAGACAAAGCATTTCTCTTCTGCACTAAAATTCCTGCCTGTTCGCCATTTTTTATTTTTACCTAAAGTTCCACTTTAAGGTTCATTGCAGGTATACCTGCCTGATGCATGCATTTTTAAATACCCGTGATTGATTCACCATCAGGGAATGTCACATTCACTGCTTTATAAATAGACCTCCAAGTGGTATAAACAGGGTCCCTTGCACGCAGAAGTTGGCCCGTCCCGCTGAAGATGATCAGGCTTGTAAACATACGCAGTCAGCTGATAGGCAAGTGCATGTTCACACATTATCCAATGACACCGCTTGGATTATCTGAACCCATCAATACACAAATAGGGCCGGAGCATAATTATTTTCAGTTCCCGAATGACGTTCCTGCAGACTCTGCCTACTCACTAAGGATGGTCAAACCTTGAACCCCCCACTGCCTGGACACATTGGAGTTTATGTACTAAAGTTGGTTCACTCGGAATCCACTGCACTTCTGCATAGGAACCAATCAGCTTCCAGGCTTTATTGATAAATCTTAACTGAACAAGCTGAGGTTAGAAGGTGATTGGCTGCCATGCACAGCTGTACCAGATTCTGAGTGAACCAGATTTAGTAAATAAAACCCGTTGTGCCAGTTCTGTCTGTGGATCTACCTACATGCACATTTTCAAAAGATTAAAAAAATTAAAAAACCCAAAGCAGAGAGATCCGGCCATGCATGTGTCCATGGAGGAACTGGAACTCCAAGGTTTTGGTTGGGTGAACCCATGCAACCTGCCTCCGTGTATTGGCTTACTGCAGCCTTGTGTTCCTCCTGGGGGAATCCACTGGGGAAAGGGAAAGAATGGCAGCAATGGGGGATGGCAAACCCTTTAAACCCAAGGAAAGGGGATGCTGGGGAGTGGACTGCCACACACGGGAAAGAATGGCAGCAATGGGGGATGGCGGACCCTTTAAACACAAAGAAGGGGGTTATTAAGAAGTGGGGCAGCCACACACCCACTAGGGAAAGGGAAAGAATGGCAGCAATGGGGGATGGCAAACCCTTTAAACCCAAGGATAGGGGATGCTGGAGAGTGGGTCTGCCACACAGGAAAGAATGGCAGCAATGGGGGATGGCAGACCCCTTAAACGCAAAAAAGGGGGGTATTAAGAAGTGGGGCAGCCACCCACCCACTGGGGAAAGGGAAAGAATGGCAGCAATGTGGGATGGCAAACCCTTTAAACCCAAGGAAAGGGGATGCTGGGGAGTGGAACTGCCACACACGGGAAAGAATGGCAGCAATAGGGGATGGTGGACCCTTTAAACCCAAAGAAGGGGGACGCTGGAGAGTGCGACTGCCACACAAGGGAAAGAATAAAAGCAATGGGGGGATGACGGACCCTTTAAACCCAAGGAAGAGGGAGTATTAGGAGTGGGGCAGCCGCACGCCCACTGTGGAAATGGAAAGAATGGAAGCAATGGGGGATGGTGGACCCTTTAAACTCAAAGAAGAAGGGTATTAGGAGTGGGGCCACCACACATCCACTGGGGAAAGAGAAGGAACGGCAGCAATGAAGGATGGAGGACCCTTTAAACCCAAGAAAGGAGGGCGCTGGGGAGTGGGGCCACCTCTCTCGCGCACTAGGGAAAGGGAAAGTGTGTGCTCCCTAGTTGTGTGAGCTGTTACCATGTTGGACTCGGCTGGCTCGGATTGTCACAGCCCGGCTGACTGTTCACCTTCTGAAGATCCAACTGTGTCTTTCAATAAACAGGGGATGGGAGAGGGTAGGGTCATTAATATTTCGTATAACTGGAGACCAGCCTTTAAACTATCTTGTGCCTATACACAACTGCAGATGTGCCACATATAAATATATTCCAAATAGCAGATCTCACCTCATGTTCACATATCTTGATTATAACTTTCGCTGTTTGCGTCAACTTGTGATTTCCTGTGGGGGAGATATAATGAATGGTAAGAAATTATCTTCTCAGACGTTTGTGTGTTGGGGGGCAGATATCATACTGCATCTCCTGCACTGTACATTATGTGACAAAAGAAACAAGGAGAAGTGATGCCAAGAAGACATCCTGGTATCTATCTTACCTGATTATCAGTAGAGGGGCCTGGACTGGGCGCCTATATGGGAAGTACAAAGTACCATATTAAACAGACCCCCTGACTACCCTACCTGATTGTCATTAGAGGGGTCTGGACTGGGACCCATACGGGAAGTACAAAGCACCATATTAAACAGACCCACTGACTACCCTACCTGATTGTCATTAGAGGGGTCTGGACTGGGACCCATACGGGAAGTACAAAGCACCATACTAAACAGACCCACTGACTACCCTACCTCATTATTGTTAGAGGGGCCTGGAGTGAGCAAACATGGAAAGTACAGAGCACCATATTACACAGACCTCCTGATCTAACTCCCACTTAGAAGCAGGTGGCACCATCTCTAAATCATCTAGTCTATATTTATAATGTGATCATCATATCTCCCCTATATTTATAGCACACATCATACAGATAGTGAGTCCTGCCTCCCACACTGTACTTCTGGTCTTGTAAGGTCTGTTCAGGTAGAACAATCACATATATACAGGTCACCATTGTGTGACCTATCCGCCCTTCCTTACAGAAGGATCACAGGAGGGATGAAGGCGAGTGTTTTTTCTACACTTTCGGAACAAGTCACACTTACCCCCGTTGTAAATAATGCAGTTGTGTAAAATCCATTTGGCTTCTGCCAGGAATGCTTCAGTGCAACCGTACATTTTCTTTTTAACATTCTGCAAGGACATGAAAAGGACACTCTAGATCGTTGTACAGATGACATCCTGAAATTACAACACTTTTCAGTGATCTATAGGGCAACGTGAAGGGTGGTAAAAAGGGGGCAGAGGGGTCACAGGGCAGCTGACACAATCCTGAAGAATTTCATCAATAACAGAACAGTTCTGAATATATACTTTCTCATGTGTGTGTGTGTATATATATATACATACATACACATACATATACACACACACTCTCATACACACACACGTACATACTGTATACATTATATATATATATATGGTCAGAGAACAGCTGTATTTCATTGTCACTAGTAGTTGTACCTGATCTATTGTCTTCTTGTTTATTAAATAGAGAAGCATAACAACAAGGAAAGATCATATAAAATAAAAATTGGAAATGGTAACTAAAACAGAAGGAGAGCTCTTCAGTTTACTACCCAACCATAATCTATAACAATATCCACATAACTTGAATATGAAGTCAGAGCCCCCTCACCGACTACTCCAGCCTTCTTGTCATGTGACAAGGTTCAGGAAAATGTCAGTCTTTACTAGCGAGCAGTTGTGGTCTTGAAATCTGTGCAGGAAGCTTGTGACAGTTTAAAATTCTTATCTTAACAAGCTAGACTTGCGACTTGCTGAAGTGTTACATTTCCACCAGTGAAACATATTGTATTTTCCGGCGTATAAGACGATTCTTTATACTTAAGAACATACCCCAAAAATCGGGGGTCATCTTACACGCGGGGTATACAATGTGAACCTTTGGGCCAAGCTGGCTCAAAGTGAATGTCCCTAATCTGTCAGCCCACTGGATGTGCAGTAATACTTTATGTATGGTAGCTTTGGCTAAAGACAGTATACCGCGCTGAGTCCATCACAGCGAGAGGTGTATTCTATTAATGAATACAAAGTCTGCTCGGATTGGCTGAGGTTGTGACATCATTTTTAAAACATGCCACCTTGGAACAAGCACTGCAAGCTTATATTATATCACAAAGCATGGTGCGTGTGCTCTGCCGGCCGCTATTTACTGTGGGGATCATACTAATGTTGACATAAACTTCACCCCTGGTGCCCAATCTGCGTCCCTCTGGCACTTATTGTGCGACCCTTGGAGCACCAGCAAGACAATATTCTGAGAATCTAAGTTCTTACTCAGGCCAGTCCACTGAAGGAAATGCCCCTTAATCTGGGTTCTAGTAGTTAAATGGCTTGGTTTATTTCTTTCAGACTATTTCATTTTTTTTTTCTGCTGTTCACTTATTTTTGAATTTTTATGTATTTAATATGGTTATACTGGAACTTGCTGATACAAATGGTATAAAGTGTTACTAAACCCAGGACCCCGCATTCACTATATCCGCTCTCCCCGGACCCCGCATTCACTATATCCGCTCTCCCCGGACCCCGCATTCACTATATCCGCTCTCCCCAGACCCCGCATTCACTATATCTGCTCTCCTCGGACCCCGCATTCACTATATCCGCTCTCCCCGGACCCCGCATTCACTATATTCGCTCTCCCCGGACCCCGCATTCACTATATCCGCTCTCCCCAGACCCCGCATTTACTATATCCGCTCTCCTCGGACCCTGCATTCACTATATCCGCTCTCCCCGGACCCCGCATTCACTATATCCGCTCTCCCCGGACCCCGCATTCACTATATCCGCTCTCCCTGGACCCCGCATTCACTATATCCGCTCTCCCCGGACCCCGCATTCACTATATCGCTCTCCCCTGACTCCGCATTCACTATATCCGCTCTCCCCGGACCCCACATTCACTATATCTGCTCTCCTCGGACCCCGCATTCATTATATCCGCTCTCCCCGGACCCCGCATTCAATGTATCCGCTCTCCCCGGACCTCGCATTCACTATATCCGCTCTCCCCGGACCCCGCATTCACTATATCTGCTCTCCCCGGACCCCGTATTCACTATATCCGCTCTCTCCGGACCCTACATTCACTATATCTGCTCTCCTCAGACCCCGCATTCACTATATCCGCTCTCCCCAGACCCCGCATTCACTATATCTGGTCTCCCACAGTACACAGAACATGGAAATGCAATTATTTTAGTAAATATAAACTGCTAATAATACCTTTCCTCATCAGCAGTATATAGCAATCTTGTAACTTATATCAATGTCCAGCTGAGCACTGGTTAATCTTGTAGGAGAAGTTTTCATTCTCCTGTGATTGTCCTATGAGGCTGCAGGACCCCTGGCCCTCTGTCTAGACAGTGCTGATTGGCCCTGTGCTGATCACATGCACCCTCCCAAAAAAAAAAAAAAAAAACCTCTAGCAATACACCAAACTGAGCATGTGCAGCAGAGTGACTCCAGGGCTCTGTACTATCAGCAGATGAATTGGGGACAGTAGAAGAAGGGGAGGATCAGAGAAGATAGAATCAAGCAGCCTTTTTTACACAACCCCTTAGCAACTCCATATGAATGGCCATGATTTTGGAATGGGACATCCAACAAGTAAATATAAGTGAGATAGCCAGGTGTCTACAGACTTTGGACATATAGGGTGAGATTTATTAAAACTGGTGCACACAGAATGTGACGCACTCTGCATAGTAACCAATCCGCCTATTTTCAAAGCTTAAATAAGCAAACTGAAGTTAGAAGCAGATTGGTTACTTTGCAGAGTCGCTCCAGATTCTGTGTGCTCCAGATTCAGTAAATCAACCCCAAAGTGTATAAGAAGAAAAGAAAATTGGTACTGCGTTTTCATTTACTGAAAATATTTAGTGACAACATAGGACAACCATGTAGAGACACTTTTATACTCACTTTGGACATAAATACCTACTTTTTCTAGTGTACTGAGATCCATAGGATTAAATATATATTCTGAGTAATCAGGATGTTGCTCCAGTGAAACTGGCTTCTGGAATGGCTCTGTCTGCAAAGAGAGATGAAAATGTATAGAGAAGTGGTCACTGCACATTCCTCCTGCAGGACAATACAAAGTTTCTGTACAATAAACACAACACACAGATCAGGATATAAAAGCCAACAGCAAGCAGACAATCCACATCCACAGCTTTTGTTTCTCATAATCCTTCCTCTCCGTCATAGTACATGTCCGGGCCCACAGCCAGAAGGTCGGATCAGCAATCTTTGAGCATCTCTTTGTCCATTTCCTTTTCTGATCAAGCAGCTTACCGAGGACCAAACCAGAAGTCCTTATCTGCATGTGTGTAAACTAGAACATACTGGAAACATTCCCCTGGCACTTTAATAAAGTATGCAGAAAGTGTAAAAAACAATAAATGTTGACACATAGGCATGATAAAACAAATCAAAAGATTCGATATTCTCCCGCTGACACATCAGGGAGGGGACAGGCAGAGACGTCCCAAAGCGCCATCCTCTTGGACGACCCTGAGGTGGTCCCATGTGAAATACACAGACACTATAGATCTCGTCATACGTGGCCTCCATTATGCTCGCTAGATCCTGTCATTGGCTGCTGCCGGGTGGTCCTCGTTGGTGGGTGGCACTATAGGATGTCTCTGCCTGTCCCCTCCCCGATGTGTCAGAGGGATAATATCCTCATCCAATTTTTCCATCAATACCTGTTACTTTATAAGTAGCACATAATATTTTGAAATGCCAAAATATACGCGCAGCGCTCTGTAAGTCCTATATAATACATTTTTTTTATTATATATGATTTGCAGAGCGCTGCGCGTATATTTTGGCATTTCAGAATATTATGTACTACTTATAATTTTTCATTTACAAGTGAAAGAAGCGGCTATATATGTTTTTATTTATTCACTTATTTATTTTTCACTTAAAAAATACCATTTGAGTGCGGTTTTATATTCAGTGGAGTTGATCATATATACATACGTTTTGTATGTATGTGTTTTCTACTTGAGGATATACTGTGTATAATACCTGTTACTTATATAACTTCCTGTGGTGCAATTTACCTGACATATTTAGTCCTGAAGAAGGAAACGAAAGTTCCGAAACACGTTGTATTTGTCTGAACAACATCACTGTACAAGTTTGGTTGGGCTGCTTGCCCATTGGCCGTTCGATGTGTTATAGACTGTCAGGTTCGATGCACACTGTGTATGCTTTGTATGTGATACAGGAATCATCGGATTACAAATTTACCACGTTGAATATTTTGATTGGTTTTATTATGCCTATGTGTTACAATAAACGTTATCGTTTTATACACTTTCTGCATACTCATTGAGGTTTTTGCCACCAGAGTCCTAGGGGAGTATTTCCAGTGTTTTCTAGTTTATGCATGTTGGGATGCTGGCAAAAAAAAAACAGTTTCCTGCTGGGACATTGTACCATGTTGTTTGTTTTTATTATCTGCCTGTGTTTTATATATATATACAGGGCCCTCAATCCCCTCATGTTTTGCATTGTATTGGTATTGTTCTGTCATATGTTCTGTCCCCCTTTGTAATGTACAGCGCTGAGCGAACTATTGGCGCTTTATAAATACTGTATAATAAATATAATATATATATATATACACACACACACACACATAAACACACATACATACAAGGTGCGTTAAAGTCAAACCAGGACTTTAGAGTTTACACATAATAAAATAACACATTTTTAGTTGTGGAAACTGCATTTATTCTCTGCCATCCTCCCCTGCTACATTTATACACTTATTCCAGCAGTTAGCTAATGCCTGGAGAGCTTCAGCATAGAAAGATTTGTCAGTATGACTGGACTATCCTAGGACTGCCGGCTTCACTTCCCCATCATTGTGTTCATCGTTCCCACAGAAAGATTCGTCTCTTGTGCAATTTCATGACATCGATGATCCAGGATCCGGAGTTCCACGCACTGACTGTTAACAGGAATGTCTGCTGTGGGCTGGGAACCGTCACGGCCAGGATGGTCACTGACAGACGTACGGCCATCTTTGAAACGTTTCCACCATTCAGATGTCTTACTGCGGGCTGAGTGTCTCATCGCCGTACTGCGCCTGAAGTCTTCTATAGATATCGGCAGGTTTTACACCTTCGTTCACAAGAAACCTCATCACCACACGCTGTTCCATGCATGCACTGACACGGTTGTCCGCCATCTTGATTAACGGTCTCAGGACTGACCCGAGACATGTGCGCCGCCTATCAGTAATAGGACACACTTGTCACTAAGGCCAGCCATACAGTACATGGGTCAAAATTCAACCGATTTTTCGTCCGAAAATCAGACCTAAGAATAATCGGACAATTTTCGCTCTGTTAGTGGGGTCAATGGCACTGGCCGATTTTCGTGGTTCCTCCCCTTTCCAGTGATCGGGAATGTTGGAAAATTTGTGAAGAACGACCCGATTTTCAACCCAATGATGGTCAAATATTACGATCATTTTTACGAAACGAATATACGCATGAGGCGTGACCTGGAACGAACAGAGGTTTTGTCTTTTATATGGGGTGAACTTTATGACTTGGTCGGCCGATTTTGGAAATCAGTGATGGCGCCATCGGATAAACGAGCGAAAGACATTTTCGATTTTTGTACGAAAAATAGTCCGGAATTCTAACCATGTATGTCCTGCATTACTACTGCGTGTAGTACCACCGCACTAGCATCTCTTTATTCCTGGAAAATGAAAAGTCCCGGATTGACTTGAACACCCCTCATGTGTATGTATATATGTGTGTATATATATATATATATATATATATATATATATATATATATATACACACACACACACACACTGTACTGAACGTAATGAAAAAGTTGGTATAACATGTTTATTAACTTACATAGGTTGTTCAGATTTCCATGTTGGTAGAGGAACTCTTCCTGTATAGTAACTCCTCTTCTTCTTTTTCATTGCAGTTAAAAGGTGGATTCCAAGCAGAAGCAGCGTGACGTCATCGAGTTACTGACGAAGGAAGGGTGCAAGCTGTTGAATATCGACAATCTCCCTTGCGTAGTTTGTCATCAATTATGGTTTCCCCTTCTTTAAACGTCTTTATCCATCTGTGCACATTACTCTTGTCAATGGTTTCATATCCCATTCTGGTTTCATAAACATTCTGTCGCTTTCTGACGACGTTGGACAGTAGGCACCCCTTCTTCATCAAGAACTCGATGACGGCACAGTGCTTCTGCTAGGAAAAAAAAATGTTATCCCAGTTTTGCGTTACTTTCAGTACAGCCCTCGATATAGTGAATGCGGGGTCTGGGGAGGATATAGTGAATGCAGGGTCCTGGGGAGACCAGATATAGTGAATGCGGGGTCCTGGGGAGACCAGATATAGTGAATGCAGGGTCCTGGGGAGACCAGATATAGTGAATGCGGGGTCCTGGGGAGACCAGATATAGTGAATGCGGGGTCCTGGGGAGACCAGATATAGTGAATGCAGGGTCCGGGGGAGCGGATATAGTGAATGCGGGGTCCGGGGGAGCGGGGTGAATGCGGGGTCCGGGGACCAGATATAGTGAATGCGGGGTCCGGGGAGACCAGATATAGTGAATGCAGGGTCCTGGGGAGACCAGATATAGTGAATGCGGGGTCCTGGGGGAGACCAGATATAGTGAATGCGGGGTCCGGGGAGAGCAGATATAGTGAATGCGGGGTCCGGGAGAGACCAGATATAGTGAATGCGGGGTCCGGGGAGACCAGATATAGTGAATGCGGGGTCCGGGGAGACCAGATATAGTGAATGCGGGGTCCGGGGAGACCAGATATAGTGAATGCGGGGTCCGGGGAGACCAGATATAGTGAATGCGGGGTCCGGGGAGACCAGATATAGTGAATGCGGGGTCCGGGGAGAGCTGATATAGTGAATGCGGGGTCCCGGGGAGAGCTGATACAGTGAATGCGGGGTCCGGGGAGAGCTGATACAGTGAATGCGGGGTCCGGGGAGACCAGATATAGTGAATGCGGGGTCCGGGGAGACCAGATATAGTGAATGCGGGGCGGGGTATAGTGAATGCGGGGTCCGGGGAGACCAGATATAGTGAATGAATGCGGGGTCCGGGGAGACCAGATATAGTGAATGTGGGGTCCGGGGAGACCAGATATAGTGAATGCAGATATAGTGAATCCGGGGTTTAGTAACACTTTAAAGTTACAATACACTTTGGTACATGAGGAATCACAGGGACCTGCTCATTAGAGCTTACAATCTAAGAATAACATGTATACAAATAAAACAAAAACAGCCTAGCATTTGTTCAAATAGAATTGCAGGAGTGTATTAGAGAGCTCCCATAGACGTATTGGGATGGATTATGGGAGGCCCATAGGCACCACATCCCAATATTTGAAATAACTACAAGCAATCAATTTACAAGGTGGGATTCAACTACCTATAGACATAAGTTGTGGGTAAAAAGTGAAAAAAAAAAAAAAAAATGGTGGCAGGGAGTTGTAATAAGTATTTAAGAAGAGAATGTCCCTTGGAGTGGCGGTCATGTGAATAATGTCCCCCCCCCCCCAGCAGACTTACCCCTGGCTGCTTCATCTTCTGTAGTGCAAATTTTAGCAGGTAAGAGAGCTGTTCTATAGTCAGCATGGTCATCGCTTTACTCTGTGTCTCTATACATTCTGCTACCGTGATTTTCTGTAGAGAGAACACACGAAATATAGAACATTAGACACAATCTATAAAATATAACACAGCACACTCCGCTTTAGGAGGATAAATGGTAAAATGCTTTAATGTGATACAGTAACAATAGTACTGCAATAGGAGCCTCAAACCACCAAAGGCAGGTATCAGCCAGACAAGAGGAGACTGCACCCCTAATGCACATGTACATCAGGGAAGATGGCATGGGGAAATACATGCACAGTGTTTCATGGATCTGGCACCCCCCTTCCTTCTCTCAGCTTCCTACAACCTCACCCCCCACACAGTGTACACATGCAGGGAGGCAGCATGGAACAGAATCATGCTATAACACCCTGAAGTATTCTCAAGAAGCACTACGAGAAACCTGCTAAAATTGGCTGCGATGGATTTGATAAAGCTCAGACAAATCCTATGGAGTTTCTAAATTTAGCCTTTAAACTGTATCGGGATCAGAAAGATCAGGCCACAGCTTGTCAAGAATTCCAAACTGGCCGTAAGCTGGCGGTTTCAGATGACGGATTTTCCTGGCTAATGTATGGCTAAGAAAAGACAAAAGCACGCAGTGACTGCGCAGGGCATGAAGGCCGGCTACACGGCCAGCCACTGCAAGTGCACAAATGTACGCAATAACTGAACGCAACAATGGCCCAGTCAGCTCTTCCAACCACGCTCTCATGTTTACGGTCTCATGTATACGGTCTCATGTATAGGGTCTCATGTATAGGGTCTCATGTTTATGGTCTCATGTATACGGTCTCATGTTTATGGTCTCATGTATAGGGTCTCATGTTTATGGTCTCATGTATACGGTCTCATGTTTATGGTCTCATGTATACGGTCTCATGTATAGGGTCTCATGTTTATGGTCTCATGTATACGGTCTCATGTATAGGTGTCTCATGTATACGGTCTCATGTATACGGTCTCATGTATAGGGTCTCATGTTTATGGTCTCATGTATAGGGTCTCATGTTTATGGTCTCATGTATAGGGTTTATGGTCTCATGTATAGGGTCTCATGTTTATGGTCTCATGTATACGGTCTCATGTATAGGGTCTCATGTTTATGGTCTCATGTATAGGGTCTCATGTTTATGGTCTCATGTATAGGGTCTCATGTTTATGGTCTCATGTATAGGGTCTCATGTTTATGGTCTCATGTATAGGGTCTCATGTTTATGGTCTCATGTATAGGGTCTCATGTTTATGGTCTCATGTATACGGTCTATGTATAGGGTCTCATGTTTATGGTCTCATGTATACGGTCTCATGTATAGGGTCTCATGTATGTCTCATGTATACGGTCTCATGTATAGGGTCTCATGTGGTCTCATGTATAGGGTCTCATGTTTATGGTCTCATGTATAGGGTCTCATGTTTATGGTCTCATGTATAGGGTCTCATGTTTATAGGGTCTCATGTATACGGTCTCATGTATAGGGTCTCATGTATATGGTCTCATGTATAGGGTCTCATGTTTATGGTCTCATGTATAGGGTCTCATGTTTATGGTCTCATGTATAGGGTCTCATGTTTATGGTCTCATGTATAGGGTCTCATGTTTATGGTCTCATGTATACGGTCTCATGTTTATGGCTAGTGTACTGGACACAACCACTGAGAAGGTGGTATATGATTCCAATGTCAGGAATTATAACTCCACTGTTAATAATATATTACATTCTACAGATAGGCTTTGGGGACAAACAGAAGACAGACGTTCCCTTCTCGAGTTCAGAGAGGTGCTCAGAGGATCTAAAAGCATATCCAGATACACCTCTATCTATCAGGGACAACATAACCCAGACAGACCATTTATACGGCATACATGCAATCAGTATTATGTAGACTGTAAATCAATCGAATCTCTTTACTCAGAATAAGTACATTGGACTCTCTCGGCTCCCTTCCATTGCTGATCCCAAAAACTCGATGATAAGATTATGTATGTGCCCGGCTATGCCTGGCAATGTCTGGGGACCTGGTGTCGGGTCATATCTAACCTCAGATGACAAGGCCAATAGTCTGCTTCATTGCGGTTGATTTACTAAAACTAGAGAGTGCCAAATCTGGTGCAGCTGTGCATGGGAGCCAATCATCTTCCAGGTTTTAATGTCAACGCTTAAAGCAGAGCTCCACCTAAAAGGGGAAGTTCCGCTGTAAGGCCGTCTCCTCAGCTCCTCTTGCATAAAAATTGCACTTTTTTTTTTGGTGTGGGGGGAGTATGTACCTGGTTTTGACATGTACCCACTCCGACTCTGACCCCCGGGCGATCGGAGCGGACGCTCTGCTCTCCCCCTGCATCCCCGCAGTCTTCTGGGACACGTCACAGGTCTCAGAAGACTGAGGGGACCATTCACAATGCGCAGAGCGGCTTGCACATGTGCAGTGGGCACCCGGCTGTGAAGCCGCAAGCTGTGACAGCCGGGTGCCCACTGTAAGGATGCCGGCGCCTGAGCCTGAAGAGGGGTGGCTAAAGCTGGGCTGAGTGCAGCGCCGGGTCCTGGGACAGGTGAGGTGTTTATTATAAGTCGGAAGTTACAGTGTTTTTAGCTGCTGACTGTTACATTTTAAAAATATGGCTGGAGCTCCTCTTTAACCACGTCCCATCCGGCCGTTGTATATAAACGGCCGGACGGTGGCAGTGCAGGGTCGGGTGGACGTTTATAAACGGCGTCCCCGCACCCTGCTTGTGCGTACTCCAGTACCCGCTGTGTCCTCCGGACACAGAGAAACACTGATCTGTGCGAGGTACCGATCATGTGATCACTGATTGGCCAATCAGTGATCACACGCAGAGTAGTAAACAAGATGTCACTTCTGACATCACTGCTTACTACGTGTGAAATCTGTGAATGATCACAGAGATCACATGGTGCAAGGCTATTCACAACAGCCTTGTACCATGTGACAAGCTGTGACCAATCACAGCTCACACAGAAGTTCTCAATGACTGCAAGAACGCAGCCAGAGAGAAGGAGAAATGATTCCTCTTACAGCCTTTATGGGTGTAAAAGCAATCAGTGTAAAAAAAAAAAAAATCTTCATCACCCCCCACAAGTAGTACAGTGTCACCATGGTGACATTGTACTGCTAGGGTGACAGTATGTAAAAAAAAAAAAAAAAAAAAACCCTAAATAATAATATAAAAAAATAAAATAAAAATGTAAAACAAAATGTTTAAAAATTCAAATTTTTGGTTATAAACTAATTTGGGTTATTTTTTTTTTTCCTAAAAGGATAGCTGAATACATTTTGGCCAAGATTTTTGATGAAATATTATTTATTTGCAAAATTTGAAAAACACTTTTTTTTCAAAATTTTTGGACTTTTTCATTTACATAGCAAAAAAATAACATAGGTGAATAAAACCACCAAAATGAAGCTTTATCTGTCTCCAAACAGATGCTAAAAAATTCATAAGGGTGCGGTGTTGCATGACCGCGCAATTGTCATTCAAAGTGTGATAGCGCTGACAGCTGAAAATTGACCTGGACTGGAAGGGGGTGAAAGTGTCTGGACATGACGGGGTTAACTGAACATGCTGAAGTTAGAAGCTGATTTGTCGCCATGCACGGCTGTACCAGATTCCGAGTGTTCCAGTTTTAGTAAATCTCCCCCCATTGTATTTTGCTGGTACTTTTAATACATACTGGGACATAAATGAATTTTTTGCTATAACATGTTTCATAGAAAGTGAAATAAAAAACATGTACATCACACAGGAGAACTCCAGTACTGTCATTTTTATTATAAAATAAGTTATTCTGGGATTTTTTAAATATATAGTTTCTTCCAGTTCAAAACAATAATTTGAAGGGATCCCCCCATTTCAGTGTACTGTCACAAAGCCCCCACCATGCCTACCAGTCGCAATACACTGATCAGCGTGTGGCTGCCTCTGCTTGACTGTAGCCAACTGTTATGTTGACTTGTGTCAATGGGACATGTTGGAAAATGATGTTCAGTCAGCTGCAGCCACTGATCTGTGTATTCTGATAGTGGTGGGTGCAAAGTCCTGGCAATGGGGATTCTTTCCTGCATGAGGCCTTAATCCGTGGCGTGGCACTTCAATCACTGTGTCATCAAAACAGCAAGAAATCTTCCAACTGGGACACTTGCTCCAGTGACATTTATGTAACCTCACTTCCTGTTGTATTTACAAGACAGGAAGTAAACGTAAACCTCCCCAATGGAACACAGATTGCAAGAACAGAAAAAAATATTCAAACAGAAACATGGTCAAAGCTTTCAGTGGTCATATAATCGCTCAGTTCTTGGTGTTGGAACCGCGGCGGGACAGCCACAGCATAGAGGTG